GATTGCTTGTCTCTTTAGAATGACCTTAACTCTCTAGTTATTTGATCTGAGCAGGCAAAGATGCTTTTTAACCATACTAAATGCTCCTACATGAGATTTTCCAGTTCCTCTTCCCTACTTCCACCTCCTAGTTACACCATCAATGGTTGATACACCAAACAAGAATTTAGTGAAGGACCTGGGCATCTGGCTATCATCTGACTCAGACTGGTCTCATCAGTGCTAACAGATTAGTGCCAAAGCATATAGACTTCTTGGTGCTAAATATATTCATGAATAGACCATATTGTTCTAATAAGAAAAAAATTTCATAAAATTTCAAAACCACCATTTTGGTGTCCAAAATACAACAGTAATGGCCTTCTTGTTATGTAGTTGGCTGTCATTCACGTCATAAAAAGGGACAGAATTTGTCTTTTTATCGTTTCTCCATGGAAAGATATGTGTATAGCTGCTATCAGAACTGGTTTTCAACAAAGTAGACCAGCAGACAGTCACAGCCCTTGTGAAAAATCCCAGCAAGATTCTTGTTAAGTTTCTTTAAAATTCTTAACAAGATTCTTGTTAATATTTCACAAGATTTTACCTGATTTTGAAACAAGGATCATGTAAGATAGCGTTAAATCTTGCTATCAAAATGTAAGCAAGATCTTACAGGATCTTTCTCAAGATCTTACCAAATTCTTAGAAGATCACAGCAAGATCTTACCTTAAGATAACAGCAAGATCTTACCTTAAGATAACAGCAAGATCTTACCTGATTTTGAAACAAAGAACATGAAAGATATCATGGGATCTTGCTTTATTAATATTAGTTGAGTTCTTACATGAAGTTTCAGTTTATGAAAAATAGATGTAACAGTAAGATCTGAGCAAGATATTCTTACATTGCATAAATGAATTACTTAATGATGTGAAGGTTAATGTGAACTTCATTAACTTTTTGATTTAATTAGATTGAAACTTTACTTTCTTTACATACTGCCATATCGTAAAGGCTATCGTGGGTTGTCTACCACTTCCTGTGACATCATGCAATTTGTAAGATCTTTCAAGATCTTTTACAACTTAATGAGTGATCTTATGTGTCATGTGATCATGGATGATTCTTCAAGATCATAAACTTACTAGATTTTGTAAGATCTTATTAGATTTCAATTTAACAAGATCACCTTAGTTCTTACAAGGTGTGATATTACAAGATTTAAGTGAGGCATGATCTTACATTTTCTGACATATTCCTTTATTCATAAGATCTTTAAAATTCTTACAAGAGTTATAGTTATGATAGATCTCACAAGATCTGACAAAACTGTTCAAATCTTATCAAATCTTAAATAAGAATTTGCAAGAATTTCTGTGTTAAGATTTTACAAGATTACTATCTTACGTTTTCTTGTATAATCATGTGAAATCATGAAAAACCTTATAAGATCTTGCTGGGATTTTTTACAAGGGAGGTAGGTCAGTACTTATGACTTTTGTACAAACACCATAATAATCCCAAGCATAATAGATAATATACTATCAGTATTTTGATTACAATACAGTTGAGAAACAAGCCTATAGAACAAGTGCTCTACAAAGATACAAGGGGGGCTGTTGCTAGCAAGAGCCAAAGAAGTCATTACAGTTCGGCCTTAAGGAATAGGTTCCGGCACTGCTGGTATTCTAAATGCCAACAGGACAAGAAACAGAGTGCTACAAACGAGAAATGAAGTTGGTACATATTGTTTCTGGAGGGAACACAGGGAAAAGCTGATTGCTTGCGATGGTATGTCCTAACTGTCACAGTGAATGGTTCCACCACAACTTAATGCATTGGGGATACTGTCCATATTGTCGTAAAGTGGTTTTATTACAAGTATAATTGATTATTATGAATTTTGTTTGTATTACTATTTTCCAGTCATAATTTTTTTTTCTGAAACAAGTATATATTTCCAAAACTGATTTACATAAATTTACTAAAGTAGAACAGTAACAATTATATCAATTTAACAATTTGTCAGATACACAATGTAGCAAAATAGTTTGAACCCTTATCCACTATGGCCAGCAAAATAAAGACATAGCAACTGTCCAACAACCTACCTGTTGTAATATTTGTATGATTCTAAACTTTTATAAGCCTTCATTGCTTTCTATGTCCACAAGCTGACTGCAACTAAGGCCACATTTACAGTTTACACAGCAACGAAAACGATGCAATCCGTATAGTATTGTGCCTGTTTTATGCTTCTGTTTACACAGAAACGAATGAAAACATGATAGAATCTTGATAGAACTCTACGGAAACGAAAACAGTGTTCAAAGTGGATACTTTAAAAACGATGCGTTTTGTGTTGCTGTGTAAACATAGCCTAAGGCACTTCTCGATGTTATCAATCCATTCACAAATCTGGCATGGGTCTGATAGATCACAGTACTTCTGACCACTGATCCATTCTACTTCAGCATTATATCTATTCTTATCAGCTCCGGAAAAAGAGGAAAACTTTTTTCTACCATGTAAAAGATTGGCCATGTAGGACACCAAAATGGTGGGGTTAAAAGTTAGAAATTATTATGGTAACATTATGAATATATTCAGCACCAAAAGGTCTATAAGATGCTCTCTTTGATTCGGTGCAATATCTCTCCTCAGTGTAGTCCCAATCTAAAAAGAGCTCTATAACTTTGCTTCATTTGTTCTCAGCTATCCTTTTGTTCTCAACTGTGGAAGCCTAGATTCATTAAAGATATCATATCCCTAGAAAGATTTCCCAGATGCTCCACTAAATTTATCCTTAACAATTTTGTCTCAGATTACAAATCTCGTCTCATTAGTCTCCACTAAACACCTTTGATGTACATGTACTTCTTCGAATTGCACGACATTCTGTTCTTCATTAGATGTGTTAAGAACCCACCTCCCAATTTTGATATCATGAGATTTTTTTCGTTCTCCAATGGTTCAATTCATACTAGATCTGCTTCATGTGGCAAACTTCAATATCACTTTTCACCCAACAACAATACTAGGTTTCTCTATTTTAATTGCCTCCCCACTCTCTAGAACATACTTCTTCCCATTGACATGTCATTACCATTTCTCGCTCTCAAATCACTTATTTCTGATTTTACATGGAAAGAAATTTTTAAGTAATTTTACTGCAACTTATCCATGCACTTACCATCTAAAATGTCCATGCCAGAATTGCTACTCTCAACCACACAGTTCTGGTTTACTTTAATTTAACTCACTTTTAATTTAATTCTGTATTTTTACATGTAATTTTTCAGGTCTCCCATATACTATAGTTGTGCCTTCAACTATGCATTCTGTCTTTTTTTCTTTTTTGCTCCCAAATTCAGTGTTTCTGTATATTGTAAAGTTTTAGTAATAAATATAATAATAAATAATAAATTATTTATTATTATTCATTTGCTGCTATGCGCATGCACAAACCCACGTGTCACATGTAAACTGGTCACCAAAAGGGTGACTAGAGCACTCTACATAGTCACCAAAATGAAACAAAGAAGTCAAATGGTGACCTGACAAATTTCTAGTTTAAATACTGTTCCATAGATTCTTTAAACAGCCTTCAGTGCAACATGACATTCATTTAGGTAATATTTCCTAGTACAGCTTCTTAGGCTTAAAAACTTCTTGCCAGATCATCCGGGATTCTATTACTCACAAAATACCCGACACACACAAAAATGAACACCACTGTGCACTGAAGAATCTTAAACAGTACATGTATCTATAGCGGTAAAACTTGGTTGCTACATTCTAAATTGCAGTAACTAGAATCACATAAAGCTTCGCCAATGGTATGCTAAAACTTGAACAGCATAGTCCAATGCAGTCCCAACTCGCCTTGTAATATTAAACCATAGATATTAGAGTAAATGAAAAGGATTGGAAACGGGGCGTAGCAACAGGAAAATGCGAGTTGATAGTACCATAAATAACCTCTCTAATTACTCGTATGTAAAATTAAAAATGGATGAAAGTTGAAGCAGGTAAGCATACTTCTTAGGTAGTTTTTTGTTGCATAAAGTCTTATTTTGTACAGGTAACCCTTCAATAATGTTGAGAAACCTTCTTCCTATTTGCTCAAGCTGTCTGCTGTAGCAACGTATCCATTTGCAGTTTAAATTTGGTGTTTCATGAATTAGCCATCATTATTGATCACACTTACTATATTTAATTCTATATTTTGTTTTGTACAACCTATTGAATAGAAACGGTGTCGGCGACCTCCAGTGTGTCGAACTATACAATGGTGTGATAGCTAATGTCACAGACCCTTTGGTTTTTATGTTAAGGGTACAAAACAAACGTCTCAAATTTATCAGTAAATTGATCATTACAGAAAGACGTAATGATTTTTCCAAACAAACAATAGTGGGCGACATCCCCATTTTGGTACTCTAATTAATGATTAAATCATTTACTATCATCTGTCTATCACTCTTGAGATAAGGATACAAAACAAAATGTTGTTAAAACCATTCACATGTCAGAGGAAATAATCAGTGTAAATGACGATGCTAGCTACATACAAAATTGTCTGGGGAGAGATTCATGTCTCCTTTGCTTCCTTTGATATAAATAATGGTGTATACTGACACCACTGCTGGAATGACAGGTGTCAAAAGGACAGTTTTTGCTCCAAGAGAGCTCCCGTTGCTAAATGCAAATGTCAACCCGCATCCATCTCCTAGCGATGTATAATAAGATGCCCGTTTCCGATTTACTCTATTATCTATGATTAAACCCAGGGGTAGTTTCCAACCCCATCTACAGGTACTGTACATGTACATCTATGGTCATTATTAGTTCCGTATGGCAAAACAGCTACTCTGCCATTCACATGTACAGCGTAACAAACTCTTCTACCATGCTTGTTTTGAATTGATCAATCAGATTGCATTATATGAGGTGTCTAAATCACTTATAATACCCCGGGAAAATATTTAGAAACCTCCGGGAAATTATTTAGATACTTCTGCCAAAGTTTGGGAAATTTTAGGAATAAAAATGATGACAGCAATAATAGTAATGTTATTTTTGAATTGTTATGTGTATGTTTGTGCAGTTATTAAAGCTGAAGTGTCTGTCTTCATCTAGAGATATGTTTTGTGCTTTTGGAGGATGAGGTGAATTGGTATATCGTCACTAGCTACTGCTGTTTTTGTTTGTAATAATAATATTATTGAGGAAACGTCTTCCGGCATTTTGTTGATCTGAAATGTGCTTATAAATTCGTACACCATCCATGCTTCTGTGACCTGTTCTTTTCATGATTAATTGTTCATCAACACCAGCTTGAAATAGTCTAGTAGCAGCAGCCACGCCGCGAAGTGAGTGGTTTGTTTGTAACCATCGATTCCCCAGTTGCTGCAGCAAACATTTTAAACAGTATTTCTCCATTAAGAAGAGTGGCCTGGTTGGAGCTTCTCCAAATCTTTCATTCTTTCCTTGCACCAGTCATTCAGAATATTTTCTACCCATTATATTGCTTTTTTAGTTGTGCATGGCGCACAGTGCTGTTGTGCATCTTTAAATCCTTGTCCGTTGCGAAACAAGATGGTATATAGCACTAATGAAGTAGGCGGGGCAGTCATAAAATGATGAGATAGGCGTTTCCAGAGCTATCAATGGCGGCTGTGTTAGTCGCATCTTTTGAGAACAGACGAGCATGTCTACCAAGCTGATTTTCCATTCTAGTGCGTGACTTAAAATGAATTGGTTGCTAATGGTAAGGATTTTTATACTTTTTGTGTATCCTAGCTACAAGAAATGCATCTAATCTGATTGGATGCATGGTAGAACACGGTTATACACCTCGGTCTCGGTTTCTATGGCATTTATTGACCTCGGGACTGCATCCCTCGGTCAATAAATCCCATAGAAACCTTGACCTCGGTGTATAACCTATACTTCTTGTACGCTTCCATAACTGTAACATTTATACTGCTCTAGTGCTCTTTCATTTACAAAAAGCCCTTGGATAAAGAACACCAAAGTTAATTAGCAACGTTACTCCTTAACTATTGATATCGCTACCTTTCTGCTTATACTACTGCTCTTAATTTTACTGCTTTTTGCCTTGCCCAGCATAAAATAAATCACTCTTATACACAAGAGTGAGGCCCAACAATTTTGCCATATAGAACCACTCCAATCAACAAAAAATCTAGAAAATCCCAATAATCAACAGTACCCAATCACCCAAATAACTTTAACCCTTTCACGGTCAATAATGCATTAATGCATCTGGGGGTGGGTCATTGAAATGGTCAGTAACGCATTAATGCTTCGAGAAGCATACTACTGCTTAAAACTATTTCTAAAATTGTCTGCTGCACAAAGTAAAGGTATTGAAGGCTATGTCAAACCTTCTCTTTCTATATTTCCAAGTTAGAAGCAGGTACATGTAGCTAGTTGTTTTGGTGTGTTACAGACAAAGAAACGATCGACGTCATTTATGGCTGCAAAAAGGCCTGCTATCTCACTCACACCTGATGCGCTCAAAGAATAGCCAGCAGATCTTTGCTCCATGATGTCTGAGGAGTCCAAAGAGCTACTATAAGGTTGATGAAGTGCCTAAAAAAAGAAGAAACTGTTCTACATGTACCTTCTTCCACTGTACAAACCAATGGATAAATGAAGTGGGCATGGTCTCAAAGCAATTCAAGGAAGGAGCGCGTTATCTCCCATTTTCTTGGTTACCTTTTGGAGAACAAGCTTGAAACTTATAAGATAACTAAAGTAAAACCTACAGAAGATATTCATGAAGTAAAAATGGTATGTTTCTGTGTTTTCAAGCCTTCCTTCGGCACTTTGGCAGGTGGGCGTGGTCTCGAGGCTGTTCTAGTAGGCTCTGTTTCTAGCCTTGTTTCTTGACTTCTGAAAAATGGAAAGCTACAACTATTTGTTAGACATTGTGTACAGACATGCTCTACCATGTATTACCACAATTATGAAATACTTTTTTTTATTTATGTTTTTAACAAGAGTTATAAAATACTTTTCTGCATTTTTACTAAAATTTTACATGTACAAAAAGTTTAGCATTGGAACAGGTACTGTAAGTGTCCCTTTGTCCAATTTAAAAATAAACTTAACATGTATGCTTGTACTGTTCTTATAATTGCAACTACATTTTGCAGCTATCTCATTGTATGAAACATCTGCCCACGGGATGATTTTTCTATTTTTAACCCAGGCCGTGAATGGGTTAATCTAGACAATATCCAATAGGGAATCAGAAATAATCAGGAGAAAATCCAGTGATTTAACAATTTAACAGTAATCTTTCAAATCCAATAACTTTTGAAAAATCTGATAATCAAGGCTAGGTATCAAGACTTGCAAAATTAATAAAATGTTGCAATCGCACTGCAAGGGATCTTAAAAACTTGCATTATATTGCATTATTCAAAATTTGCATAATTGGGCAAATTGAGTTCCGCAATAAATATTTTCACAAAATAATAGACTATGCCCATTACTACCTAAAATTAATTAAAATAACAATGAAAAATTTCCCGAAATTTTGTACTGTAAAATAATTGTTCTTGTGCCATAAATGAACAATAATTAATTATGACAAGAAGCCACGCCTACCTTAAAAGTATTATGTTTATTTTTTACTTATTTATTACGTGTACAGTATTCATACCTAAACAACATCACAAACCTGAAAGGGGTCTTTTTCCTAAAGCACTCATAGCTGATTGTTTAGCTCTACGCCTCCAGGAGGTAACTTAGATCGCTTAGCCAGCAGACAGTCCCACAAGACACAAAAAGTAATGCAATGTTATTAGAATACTTACGGTAAAGTGTTGTTATGGTAACTAAACGAATTGTTTCTCACGATGCTTAGCAACGGGTAATTCACTGATTTCGCTCTCTACTGTCCAGTTGTCTGTTTGGTTTCGGTTTTGTTCTGAAGGAACTGTCTTGGTACTGTTGCTCGTTCTTTTTCTGTTCTTCTTAAAATTATGTTGGCGATGTACAACAGTCAATCACTGACTTCAGCTAATACTAAGACTTTCAATAGGACCCTGGTCTATCCAAGTAGTGAAGTAAAAGACCCTATCGTTGACTTTGATCCCGAAGGCATACCAAAGACAACTACAATGACTCCTGCCCAAGAAACGAAAATGTTCTCTGGTGCTGTTACCCTGCCACCTTTATTGAAGTCCTCGTCTAACAAAACCGTTAAGGACACTACATTTGCTGAGGCTTTACCTCGTTTATCGGGAGTACAAGTCCAACCTATGTTCCGGGACCAGGTACCATTAAATGATCTCCAACAACGTCGCCCTCGTCAATCTACTGCTGATACTCTTCCCAACCTTCACCATAACAGACCCCTGACATCAGCACAGCCACAATCAATGACTGATGATGCATCATCCGACCAAAGCCAATCTCAGAAACAACGATACCTTACACCTGACCAAGCAATCAAGCTGTATGGATCTAAACTCAGTGAATTCGAACAGCAAGAAATCCAAGCTTTTCAGCAAGTGTACTTTGTCGGCCAACATGCTAAAAAACGTCAAGGGGTAATAGGTGCGCCACAAAACAGTGGATACGATGATGATGCAGGTACATATCTCATTGTAGCGCATGATCATGTATCATACCGCTATGAAGTTCTAAAAGTTTTGGGTAAGGGCTCATTTGGTCAAGTGTTAAAGGCCTATGACCACAAAATGCAGACGCATATTGCCTTGAAGGTAGTTAGAAATGAAAAGCGTTTTCATAGACAGGCACAAGAAGAAGTCAAAATTTTAGAACATCTGAGACGCCAAGACAAGGACAACGCTCATAACATAATACATATGATTGATCATTTTACTTTCAGAAATCATGTCTGTATAACTTTCGAACTTCTCAGCATGAACTTATATGAGCTCATTAAAAAGAACAAGTTTCAGGGTTTCAGTCTGGCCCTAGTTCGTAAATTTGCTCATTCTATTCTTCAGTGTTTGGATTCTTTGTATAGAAACAGAATTATACACTGTGATCTGAAGCCTGAAAACATTCTTTTGAAACAGCCAGGAAGAAGTGGCATTAAAGTCATTGATTTTGGATCCAGTTGTTATGAATACCAGCGAGTTTACACATATATCCAGAGTCGTTTTTACCGTGCTCCAGAAGTCATTCTTGGAGGCAAGTATGGAATGTCTATTGATATGTGGAGTTTTGGATGCATTCTAGCTGAGCTGTTAACAGGTTATCCACTCTTTCCAGGAGAAGATGAAGGTGATCAATTGGCATGTATGATGGAAGTTTTAGGCTTACCATCCCAAAAAATGATTGAAAGCACTAAAAGAGGCCGTACATTTTTTAGCTCTAAGGGACATCCACGATACACCACTGTGAACATTAATCCTGATGGAACAGCTTCATATACTGGAGGGAGATCAAGGCGAGGAAAGTTTCGTGGTCCACCAGGTACTAAGGATATGAGCCGAGCCTTAAAGGGCTGTGATGACCCTCAATTTTTAGACTTTTTGAGACACTGCCTGGAATGGGATCCAGCCATAAGAATGACACCGCCACAAGCTCTAAGACATCCTTGGTTACGACGCCGATTGCCTAGAGCTCCTATAATTTCAGATGGCCAGAGTTTAAGCCAAGGAATACCTCCTCATTTACCCTCTGCTGCTGCTGTTCATTTGTCTTCTTCTGGTGCTGCAACAAACAAGCAAAGACAATTGCCAGAAGCACCAATTTCAAACAATGCCACGACCGCGGCACCTATGACAAATGGAAAACTGTCTAACAGTCACTCATCTCAAACATTGCTGCAATCCGACCAACTCAGCAGTAATAGAACTGTGCTTCCAAAAATAATAGATAGATAGTACCACATACTTTCTACAAATTCATTCTTTAGATATTTTTTGTTTTGTCTATGTTAAAAGTAGTTTTATTTTAAGAGTTAATTTTCCTACAACATATACAATGTATAAACATAAGTTACTGTTGCACAACAATGAATGCATTTAAACTTCCAATGCTGCCAACAATTTTTAGGTATTGAGACAGCTTTATTTTAGTTATAGTGCAATGAGCAGCATCAATATATTTGTATTATAGTTTCAGTTGTGACACTGTGTCTGTAACATAAGACAAACAATTAATGATGTTCCAAACATGGTAAAAATTGCAAACATGCCATCAATAGAAGCCATCAAGTTGAATATTTAGCATACCAAGCTTCAAACAGCACATTATAAGGCACAACATCATAATCAAATTAGTCATGTTTGACAAGTGATGTGTCAACACTTAAAATGCAGTCTTATATAGTCATAGTTAAGATCTTAGATAGCTATAATGATATACATATAGGCTTCACACAACATAACTGTGCAATAAATGTTCATAGTGAAGGAGATCTTTTGATACGTCAAGCACACCTCACATACATGGCAAAACTAAATGTACATACATTGTCTAATACATAATAATAATTCAGTTGGATTTCTCAAAGTTGCAAGCACTGGCATAGTTGTCAGGTAATGCTCAAAAGTGGTTTACAAAATCAGAACTATAACAAATAATTGAATTTTAACATGCTGTTATTGTATTTTTAATGGGCCAATTTTTTTGCTCCAAATAACAATATTCAAATTAAATAATGTGAGCAGTAGATATTTTACCATTCTGTTAGTGCTACCAAATAAGTTACACATTGATAGTTAATATCCTGGTTTAAGAAATTTCATAATAATTGTATGTACACTTTTAATGTGTACTGGTATGTACACTCATAATTGTGTACATACCATTATGAAATCATTTAAACCATAGATAGCCAGAATATTTACTATCAATGTGTAATTATTTGGTAGCACTACAAATATCTACTACGCACACTTAATTTGTTGGAATGTAGTTATTTTACTTTTAGTGTATTTTAATTGTTAATTACCAGCAATCTTTTGAACGGCAATGATCAGAGCATTATGATTCATGTTGCAATCTATGTGCAAAGCTCATGTTAAACTAAATGCTACAAGATTACTCACCCAAAATAAATTTAATCAGTGGTTGTAATCACAGTGTCATTGCCATGTAGCTATACCACATTACTTTATGTCATTGTTACAGCTGTTACATTATTTTTCAGTCATATTTTCCATTCTCGCTTTAGGCCACAGATTCAGCTGCATGTGTAGAACCAACAATGCTATTTATTGTACTAAGCTACCTAATTTCAAAAGGATTTTTTTGGCTGTAAATGCCATGCAGACACAGTGCTATAATTTTCCATTCTCCTCGTAAAAATAAAAAGTCTCCATGTGATACAAAAACTAATACAATGTATACTAATAAATTCCTAGGGAAATTTAAGATTGATTATTTCTGTTTTCATAATGCATTCTTTCATTTTTTATCCTTTGACTGGAAATTGCACTGATCTAAATAAGTAACATGTACATTTGTATCATAATTAGTTTGATAAACACAAAAACCAAATCACACATGTAAAAGATAATTAAAAATTATAGTGCTACAGTCTTACATAAAATCACTGACACAAAACAATTGCTTGAAACAAGAGAACACAAGCAGTATAATTTAAATCCAAGTTAATTTTTTTAAGCGTGGAACAAACAATTTCAAAAAAATGTAGTATAGCATTGAGCCTGAGCCTAGGTATAATTAAGTAAAAGGAATTGAAATATTTAAATTCCTTTTATAGGTTCAATCATGGAGAGGCTTAGGCTCAACCATGCACTTAATTCATTTATTCAAGACTTTAGACAAATTCAAACTAACACGATAGCTGAATGAAGATCAATAATGCTTGCACTTATAATGTTATCAGCTAACTGCAAATGCCACACAAAATTTACCATGATGCTTTTTGCAATTCAACATACTTATCGATGTCATATAAAGTAGTCATATCACTCGTATGTAGGGTTGACATGTTGGTGCTAGTTGATGGTGATACAACCAACAAGGCTTAAGATCAAACTGGCCAACATACGAAATTTTTTTGACATTTAGTGTCTACATTCTCATTTTTTGATGTAGCTAGAGTTAATGCAGTAGCAATAATGAGTAATTTAAATTGTAACCACTGTTTGTTGTTGCCATGTCTGCAGTCTATGCAGTCCTTTTTTCCTGATGCAAAAAAATTACTCAACAGTGGTGTCGCAGAAAATTAATAATCAAAACAGTAAGGTAAAAAAATAGAAAAAGATACCCTACCACACAGAAGAGCCTGACCTAAGGAGCTAGATTGGCAGATTACATACTCTCAGATCTTTATTATTTTGCAATTGTCAACATCACAAAAAATTTTGCCAAAATCCTGGCCCAACTTAGCCCGTAAAAATACCTACAAAAAAGAGAGCCATTGATAATGAGCTAATTTATACAACAGCTATTATAGCCTTCTGGTTTGTTTAAGAAAAATGAAATGACACTAATACACTATGCGGGGGAGGCAAAGGCACTGTTTCCATATAAAGACTATAAAAGTTACTTCCGGTTAATTTCGGTTAGCTCGGTGACACTGCCAAAGCCAGTTTGACACTTTCAAAGTTTCATATTACGTTAAAAATGAGTAAGGAACATCAACTCTTAAAATATGCTTCTTCTGGAAACTTATCTAAGTTAGAGGTTAGCTATTTTATAATGTTACTTTGTCGTTGTACTGTAGCTCGTCCTCGAGCTCGTCACCATCAACATGTAAGCTACTGGTGTAGTGTGTATGATAGCACAAAATTAATGCTGTAGATTAGCTAGTCGTGGAATAAGCGTTGTTGGGAGCACCTAGACTACACAGTAGTCAGTACAGTAGTACACAGACTAGAAGCTGTTTGAAGAGGTGGATTGTGAACTCTTTTTGTCAACGTGCTTTTTCATTTTTTTTTCACTTTATGTACGTTTAACTGTAACTAACCTCTTGCTATTTTTGTCATAATTTTAAGGTAAATTTTAGCAATGGAGGTTTGCTTTAATCACTCTCTGTGTTTTTTTTACCTTAAAAGCCTAAGGGTTATGATAAAGTGGGCTTTTGTGATTTCATTGGTAAAATGCAGGCATATGTTATTGTTATCATTGGGACGGAACCAAAGTAGGCACAGAAAGTAAATGGCATTAACATCATTAAAGTAATTTCAGTAACTTTTTTAATGTACATTGATTTACTCAATGCACAATTGTTTTGCGTGAGTATTAATTTATTTCAAGCTTATTTTATAGTTTAGTGATGAAATTAATAGGAATAAAACATATAGCTAAAGAATTGATTGCCAATTTTGACAAATTGACTCTAAAATACATGTAGGTTTGCAAGCTAAATTTTAACCATGTGCATGCTGCTACAGAGATTTGAGAATAAAATTGTCGCAAATGAATCTGAATTAATTTGTCACTACCTTTTAATAATTGGATCAGATAATAGCAAAGTGATTTGGAATACCTTTTCTTGAAAATCTCAATGATCACAATTAATATTTTGCTGATGAAACTCTGCTTCTTAAAATTGGCTTTATTATCTATAGACACTTTTATTGTCTTCATATTTACATTAATTACAATATCGACAGCCATTCTACCTTAGCATAAATGTTTTAGAAAAATGATTAATTGTGGTTGGAAGTTTGTTTTGGCAGCACTTTGTTTTTCCCATACAAAATTTATTTACAAGTAATTTGGCAATGAGCATGCATCTATACTTGAAATTAACTGTAAAACTTCAATACTCTTACCAGTTATCTAGTACACAAATCTAGTTGTTTGAAGTGAAAAGACGTCATGCATGTAGTAATTATAGTTTGTATAATGTAACTATATGCATGTGTACTTTTTGATGATTTGACAACACTGTAAATGTGGATGCCTAAGTTATGAAAGTTTAAATTCTTGCATTATGCCACGCTTTTTTAGACACTTCCAGTAATGACAAATGATAGTTTGAATTAGCCTTAAAAATAACACACATTACAGCAGGGTACATATAACACTAGGGTGGCAAAAATTATGCATATTTATGACTTATTATTATGTATTGATGTTATAGCTTCTTCTTTTGCTATTTTTGATAGCTAAGTTAGTGACATACATGTGCATGTATATATAACATGCATTTAACTGGCAGGTCCATAAAAATTAAATCAAGCTTAATTACTGGACAGTTTTGCAAAATATTTAATTAAAGTGTTCTTAAGAGAAGTGTATAAATAATATGGTAGTTGAAGTGATTTATTCACCACTATGAAGCAGACTGATTGGTCAATTCAAACTGTGCATAGTAGAAGCTTGAATATCAGCTTCCTTTTTTATTATTTTTTTTGAAAGCATACTATAAGCCCTAGTATTAAACCTTTTGACTATTATGTTAGAAACCTCAACCTGTTTTTCTCTCATCATCTAAAATATGATGGAAAGTTATGAAGTGATAAAAAAAGTACAAAAATAGATAATATGGCTATTATTACATTTAGATTTTCGAATTCAATTGCGTCATCTCTAAGTTAGAAGTCACTTATAGTACTTTTGACTAAGGCATGACGTTATTGATAAAATATATGTTCAGCAGTATAGGATTTTCCATTTTGGACTCCCTAATTTTCAACTTGATTAACACTTCAATTTTGCCAAGTATCAGCATGTGCATTGTGTGTACGTACAATACATGTATGCATTTACAACATTTCCTGTGTATCCTACAAATACTTATTTCTGATATTTCACTTTAGAATGTACTTAAAGGAAAATCTAATCTTCTTAAAAGATGGTTATCAAAGGATCGTCTGGATGACTTGGCAGAGGAAGAGGCTGAGGAACCAACTGCTGTCCCTCCAATTCAACGCCGCCCTTCTTTACCTCTTATTGTCCAAAAAGAGAAGTCTGTTCATGTCAATGTTGACTGTTGTAATGAAAATGGCTTAACCCCTCTAATTTTGGCATCACTAAATGGTAACAATTTCTACCCAATAATACATGTATGAAAAAATTATATTTAATTAGGCCATAAAGATGTTGTTGCTATGTTATTGTCTTTTTCTGCTGACATTCATGCTCGAGATTATCAAGGGTCAGCATTATTCTAAAGTTTTTTTGGATACAAAGTTTTTTTTATAGAAACTCTTCTCTTCATATGGCTGCTTGGCAGAACCATTCTGAAGTTGTTGACTTGCTATTACTAAATGGAGCATCTGTATAATTTTAAATACTTTGTATGTGTAAATTTTTTTGATTCCATAGCCTTTGTCAGCAAACAAAGTTGGAGATACTCCACTTCATTATGCTTGTCAGTATTGTTCACCAGGAAAGACTCTTTCTATTATCAAGCTTTTGCAGGTTATATTTCTTTTTATATAATGTGTAACGTTATTTTTGTTAATAAGAGAAACACAGATACTGTAAAACTATTACTACTGTATTACTACATTTTACAGTTAGGGTCACAAAATTTGGCATTAAAGCATTGATATATAAATTTAGGTATTACCGTATAGGGGTTTTATTTTGTTGGTATAAAATTTCGCAAATTCGTCCAGATTTGCCATTTGTTGGTATAAATTTTTGTGAATCCTACCTTCTGCAGTCATTTTTCTTAGTGTGCCACACCTCTTTGTGGAATTTAATTTCGCGAATTTAATGAAAACACAAAATTTGCAAAATTTTTTCTAGTGAAATATAACTCCTATATGGTATTTTATGTTCATCATCAGTAATGCAAGTAATAAATCATATGCATGTACAAATGTATGGTAGCTTAAAGGTATTAGTGACATCATTGACATGTACATGTATACCATTTTTGAGGTGCATGTCTTTCCTCAAGTGCAAAAACAATACAAATGGTACACCTGTGAATATTAAGAATAAAATTTGTGTTAAGTTTTGTAACCTAATTTACTGCATAACATTACAAGGACTTGAACTTTTTCACTAGCATCTGCCATAGCATTTTTCTAGCTGTTTACATACATGTATGCTTATATTTGTATAAGCAAAATAGTTCATTAGTGTATTTTCATTACAGCATGATGCCAGTGTTTTACTAGCAAACAATGCTGGAGACACTCCTCTTGATTTGGCAATCAGGTATAACAAAAAAGGTGAGGCACATGAACATAATGTGTATGAACGTTGTTGCTGTCCAATTTCTTTTTTAGAAGCTGTTGCTGTCTTACTTGATGCAGATTCTGAAACTCTGGCATCTAAGAAAACAATTATTGAAGCTGCAACTAAAGGCAAGTGTATCATATCTAATTGAAGGAGATCATCCACTAGACAACTTCGTTGCCTGTACCTTTTGGTGTGGTTCAGCATGTTGCATGAAATTGAGAATCTCTCTACTTCATGCTTCATCTTGCCGAATATCATCGAAGGTTTAACTGTAAGGTCCAAGCATAGTGCATTTCAACCTTAAATTAACTGATGTAGAAATAGAATACAAACTAATATTCTGGTTGTAAATTTTAGGGTCAATACAACTAAAATTATGCAAGCCAGTAATTTTCAGAATTAAGTATTCACATTCAATGTGTTCATAGAAATGTACACTCATTGCTATAGTTATTATTGCCATTGACTTATACACTACGTATACATTTTATGTGCAGTTAATTTACATGAATAATGTGAAACTGTGCATGTGCATGTATTAATGGCACCATTCATTACTAGAGATTAATTGACCAGTAAAGTTTGACCAAAACCATCATTACAACACACTTTGTATTCATTTCTTTTTTATATTCAGACTAATAGCTACTAAGTATGATAAAAGTAGCTTTAGCATAGCCTGAAGCAGGCAAGGATGCTTCTGCTTTTGAATTATCATTATTTGCTTACCTATGCCCAATACCTGCTGGTTCATTCCATCATGCAACTTCCTCTAATGATTCGCTTCCAGTACTTGAATAAGATTTATTCACTGTAGTCTGTTCTCAGCTTTCCTGTAATTTAGTTTATAACTTCCTTTTTTCTTTCTATCATTTAAATTTTAAGTGTTATTTAAGTTTTCTTGTGTTAATGTTTTTACTAGCTACTTTAATTGCCTATACATCCTTCTCGCTAAGACTATGGGAGGAATTGTATGCCTTTTGAGCATTATTTCTGCATCTTAATTACCGTGTAGTGGGTAATTTTGGAGGAAATAAATTTTGGTATATTGATAGGCATTTACTAAAATAAAACCCACCATTTTTGTACCATTGTGCACATTTTTGATTGCACATGGTCACAAATTCACCAAATTAAAACCCGCAATATCCAAAGTTTTAGGAATTTGCCAAAATTTCTCTCCTATACCTTATATGCCATATACATGTATTTTGTGGGGATTTAATTTTGCGTTTTAAAAAAGATTGTGATATTAAAATCTGCAAAATAGCTTGCTGATTGTATAATAAGTGTGATTATAATTACATTAATATCATGAACTTGTACAAAAATGCAGCCAAATAGCAAAATTTTATACCCTTGAAATATTTGGTGTATACACAGTACTACCAAATAGTTCATAACTTTGTCCACTTTTTTCGTTTGATTTTGTTCCCATTATTAACACAAAAGTAAGTTGTAAGAAAGTATTAATGTACAAAACTCTCTTTACTGTTTAATTTATGTCAAATTTGTTATTAATTTTTCATGCAGGTCGAGGAGAAGTGCTTGTACTTTTATTAGAATCAGGGATTGATCCAAATTGTGTTGATGAGCAATCTGGTATTACTACTACATATTATCAGTTACCCATTTTAATGTGTAACTTATTATAATTTTTTAATTAGGAAAGATGCCTCTTCATGAATCAGTTAAATATTTCAGGTATTTTACCAGCAAAACATGCTTCATTATGTATACTTAAAGCCATTATGTTAGTGCATGTTAATATATATACTTTTTATTTTAATGATAGTACATGTACATACATGGAATTTTGATTAGTATTTTGCCATATTTTGAGCTTGTAAAATTTAGTTTTTATTGGAATTGATTATTTTAAATAGCATATTATTTAAGATACATACATGTAAGTACAGCATAGTGTTGTCTATGTATTGGCAATAGCTTTTAAGTAACTAAATTTTATTATTGTATAGCATATAATTATTATAACGTTCCGATATCATGGATACAATGAAATGTAGGAAAGAGGCATTTGAAATATTGTTACGTTTTGGAGCTCAGGCTGGAATGAGAGATGGAGCTAATGAATCTGTTATTGATATCATCCGCAAGCACCCTGAGCATAGACAAGATGATTTCATGAAGCTTATTAAAAAATACCATGGGCAAAAACCTCAAGTGGCACGAGTAAACATTTCTATAAATTTTTTCCAAATAATGTTTAATATAATTACATGTAGGCACATCTGGAAAAATCACAAAGTGTTAATGATGACACTACTGATGTTACATGTAAATTATTTTTATTGATGTTATATATTTTCAATGTATGTATTGTATATTTGTATAGTTACTCATTTACTTTTGAAGAACCATGTACAATGGTTAAAAAATGACAGTGAACATTGTAGTGCTGCTACAAAAAAGCATCCTGTAACAAATATACTTGATGGTAATTGTGTGTGTAATTTATTGATTTTTTTTCTTTATTTCACATTAGTTGACCCATTTAGTTACTGGATGATTCCAGCCCCAGGAGCATACAACTGGGTAAATCAATTTTATAGTTTAAAGCCAAATGGTTTTTGTTTAGGTAGCATTTGACCTAGGAGCTAATTATACACTTACTGGAGTGAGAATTTATGGATGGTAATTGAATTTCGTTATTATCTTTATTGACATGCATGTATGCACTGCTTAATAGGGGCAACAAGACAATGATATATTCCTTTGCTGTTGAAAGTGCAAATTCGCTCAAGTATAATTTATTTTGCAAGCATTTTGTTTCATAATTTTGTAGTGGCCCATGGACAGCTGTTGGGAAATACAAAGCTGACTTGGTTGGTCCAGAAGACATGAATCTTCTTCGTAGGTTTTCATAGTAGCCAATGAGCTCATTTTTATACGTATTTTTCCAGCTGAAGGCCAAGATTTTAAAGGTTTTTATGCAACTTCTCAAGTGAGGCAAAATGTTTCGTGCAAAAATCACCTTTTTTAGTTTTGGCGTATTGTAATTGCTGACAATTATGGAGATCAATTTACTATTGTATCAAGTGTTCAGTTTTATGGGTTTGGTAAAAAAATTAATAAGGTTACCTGCTTTTTATTTTTTATTATTAGAGCAAGAACTTATTCCTTGGTTCAAGCAAATGAATTTATTGAAATATGTAAAAACATTTGCAGAGAAGGTGACTTTTTATTTAAACTGGTATCCGATTTTCATGTTGTTTAGGGGTACAACCAATTAAGTGAAGTGGCCATTGCAACTGATGAAGCATTAAAAGCCTTTGTGAGCTTACAATAAATGTGCATATATTATACTTTTTTAAGGTTCATAATGAAGGTGATCGATTGAAAATATTGACTGAATCCAAAAAGCTCCTTGGAAAATGTATGAATAATTATAGTACATGTGCTAAATTGTAACACATTTCTTACTTTTGTGTCATAAGATTATCCCCCAGCGAACCTCCGTTGGGCTGTACCACCCCAGACCAGTAACATTATTGAAAATAAACAAGTAGTTTTATAGCTGTTATCTACTTCAATTGATTCGTTTATATGTAGATGCCAGAATTTTCAGTTATGAGTGATGCTTACACTGTGGGAGAACTTATTCTTCGAGTACATGGTATATAGGCAATAAAGATTGAATGATGCTGTCATGTTTTGCAGGTGGGGGTCAAATATTTGGTAGAAGTAAAGCATCACTTATTCCTAAAAGCAATGGCTATTATTCTCGAGCCACGTTTTCTAATGTAGCTATTTATCCTGGTAACCTTTATGACTAATAACAACTTTGTTGATTCCTTCACCTCATAGCTGGCAGCTACACTTTAGAAGTACAGAGCAGTGTTGATCCCACTGTAAACTTGGTATTAGATAAGCAAATAGTTGTTGGTATGATAATTATTATAATCATTGTATTCATTGTATGTTACTATTTTAGATCTACCTGCAAAAAGGCATTCTGAAATTAACAGGCTGTTTGATGATTTCGAAAGCATGATGAACTTTTAAATCAGTAGTGAACTTTTTATCATTTGCCATTAGTAGATCATAGAATGTGTTTTACTCCATGAAAATTTTTAATAACATTCAATTTATAGTATTAAATCAACACATAATAATCGTAATGATGCTAAAATAATGCAATGATTCTCATTAATTTCTCACAATTAACAAGAAGCGTTGATTCTAGTGTAAATTTGGTATTAGACAAGCAAATAGTTGTTGATATAATAATTATTATGATCATTGTATTCATTGTATGTTACTATTTTCAGATCCACCTGCAAAAAAGCATTCTGAAACGAACAAGCTGTTTGATGATTTCAAAGCATATGAATTTTTAAATCAGTATATAGTGAACATTTTATCATTTTTGCCTTTAGTAGTTCATAGAATGTGTTTTACTCCATCAAAATATTTTCAATAACTTATTCAATTTACAGTTTCTATTAAATCAACACAGAATAATCATAATGATGCTAAAATAATGCAATGGTTCTCATTGATTTCTCACAATTAAAAACAAGATAAAAAGACATTTGAACATTAATTATAATAATAATAAAGTTATCGATGAACCCAGTTATGGGCTAACCAACTCAATTGAGTGCTCCACTGCAACCTTAAACATTTTTGAATCTGTTGTCGAAAATGATCAGCAGCTTGCTCTTCATTCTTTCCAAGCACAAGTACACTCTTTAAATAATCTAAATCTTCCACACTACGGAGCTCTGGAATGCCTGTACATTTCATCTACAAGTACATGTAAGCAAAATAATGTAAAGTTATTATAATTAATAATTATAATACATTTACCATAGAAAATAAGTTGATGAACAGATTAGCATTTTTCCGAATGATAAGATATGCTCTAACAGCAATTTCTTCAAATTTCTTAAAATTTTCTGATGTCTAAAAAATTAATCAATTCTTAAATTAACAAAAACCGATATTGTACCCTTTTGCCTAAAACATATTCAAAATCAGGTGTCAGAACAAAAGGGGCTCTGTCACGATTAACTCCCTAATGATGAAATTCAAGACCTACAATACAAATAAACAGCCTACCAAAAATGCTTTTGTATTGCCCAAAAAATGTCCAAAATCAATATGAAACAAGTTACCACTGACAGTCAACATTATGTTATCATTATGACGATCACCAATTCCCTGTATGGAAAGATAAAGGATACACTTGTGCACTTGCAGTATGTACATGTATATTTACATGAATATAATGTGCATGCATACATGTATATGCATGTATACATGTACATACATGCATATGCATATTATACATGTACTTACAAGGACATAAGTTGCCACGCAATAGCCAGCACAAGAATAAACAAAACGCTCAATAGCTTGCTCAAAATGTTTAGGGCTATATTGAATAGAACATGTAGCGATGTTTAATTATGACAATCAATACTTTGGATTCTTCTTTTTTAACCATTCATACAATGGCTCATCCTTCAAAGTAGAAAAACTCCCTCCATGATGAAGTTGTATCTTGAGAAAATAAATAAATACCACTCTTGTACACATACATGTACATGTACAAGAATTGAAATTTACCTTAGCAACAGTCTCAGCATCCTGGACAACTTCAATCATTCCCATTTCATTTCCAGTCGCAACACAACCATATGGAATGATGTACAAATCAAGCCCTTCGCTTTGCCATAACTATTTATGTATAGAGTAATGAAAAAACAGTTATTATACATACAGAGTCCATTATTGTTAACATCTGCAATGTAAGCATGTCCTGTCGCAAGTCATCACCATGTTTAGCTATCACTTTAATAGGTTTCTGTGTAGTCGACGATGGATCCATATTCATAAATTCAAGCCACAAAGGGGTCTAAATAGAATTTAAAGTCATTTACAATTACTTACAAATACAACTATACATGTACATGTATGTACCTTCTTTGAGTCCATAACGCGACACTTTTCAACTTGTAAATTTCCCATTCGTAGACTAGAAAAAATTCATAAATACTTCTACGAGTAGCAATAATGTAACTAATGTACCTTGGATCAAATGGAGGAGCAAAATATTCTGGTAAATTTTGCTGACTAAGATCAGCCTTAGCATAGTCTGTAGCACTACCTTTATGCTTCTCCATATGTTTCTTCAGCTAAGAATTTTACAAATAATGTAATTACTACATACATGTACATATATATCATGTCTTACTCCTGATGCAATAGACATAATATCCTGTACAGCTTGATGTTGTTTCTGCAATTCAATCTAACATACATGTACATGTAAAATCAAAATCACAAAATACTCATTAGATTATAAAAGGCTTACGAATATATTTTTGCCACATCCCTTTAAAAAGGCTTCCAGTAAAATACCAAACCGTTGTGAAAACTGTGGAGAATCCATCTCAGATCGAAGGTACCTGCAAGATACAGTATGAATCTTGTTTGATTACTGTTTGCTACCAAATTAAACACAAATTTCAAAATGTAAAGGTAAATGTAGATGTACATGTAGGTGTATTCTCACTATCATCATGCATTTACAATAAAAAAATAACAATGCATTATATACTTCAAACTTACCAGAAGAAAAAATGACCAATTCGTTTACTCAAAAGAGCCCTCTTTAAAAGAAATCTAGCAAGGGCACTATCATGATAAGGCTCAAATTTCAGTACCTAGAAATTATGCAGTAATTTTTTTCAGTAGAACAAAACAGACAAAAGGCAGAAACATACATTATGTGCATGTGTGCATGAAAATTCTCCTTTCATTAAAAAATCATTTTGTACTTTTAAACATACATGTAAGTTCACAATACATACCTGAACTAATTGCAGTAAGAACACTAACACTTCATCATTAGTCAGTCTCGACAATCTTGCAACAGCCATTGTTCGTACCTTCTCATCCGCAAAATGATAATCCAATAACTCAAGGCCAACCTACATGTATTTTTGAAATATGTGTACCGTATAGTGGAAAATTTTCGTGGCCCAAAATTTTCGTGGATTTTGCGTTTTTTTCCAAACCCACAAAAATAAAATCCGCGAAAATCGATTTTATACAGTTTAAGAGGCCAAATTGTAGAAAACCACAAAAATTAAAGCCACAAAATTGATTTTTGGACAGATCCACGAAAATTTCGGGCCACAAAAATTTTCCGCTATACGGTGTGTTTTGTAATTGGAACTAAATGTGTCATTACATAACTTAAGTTGCTTGTGTTTTCATGTAAATAGTGCAACTTTAATAGTGCAAGTATAATTTTAGTAATGGAGGTGATGTAATCTTGAGGAACAGTGAAACACGCTCGGGAACAGCCTTCAAATTCACATAGTTTATGGCACCCTCACTACCATTATCAACTAGTACAAGCTTGTGCTACCGTATACTGGGCAATTTTCAAGTAGCCAAATTTTCGCAAATTTCGCGTTTTTTGCTCCGTCGCGAAAATAAAAATCACAAAATTCTAAATTTCCATTGCCACGTGGTGGAGTTGACAGGCTATTCACGAAAATATTATTTCGTGAAATCTTACAAATGCAAAATTCGCGAAAATTTAGCGACACGAAAATATCCCAGTATACGGTAGTTGATAATGCAGTGAGGGTGCCATAAACTACAGTATGTGAATTTGAAGGCTGTTTCCGAGCAGATTACAATGTACATGTATGTCACTCCATTATTAGCATGTCGCTTAGGACACTGGGTAATAATATCTTTCAGGTTGTAATTATGCACTTAATGATAGTGAATATAGTATTAGTTTTAGACTTTCATCAAATATTCTAGGAGCTATACACCAACATGTATAGTAAAAACACACTTTAAATATGCACATTGTACTACATGCACATGTATATGCACATAAATAATCTAAAACATTCAGAACATTACTTACTTCCATTGTAATAGGTGACCACAACTGTAACAGCTTATGAGTTTCAGTAACTTGTTCTAGACTAGCCCAATCAACACATTGCAAGAATTTTGGAAGAGCCTTAATAATTATTATAATAGCAGTACAATCATTTGTCAAAAAACTTACCTCTGGGCTATTAGTCAACTGATACCTAAACTTCCATAATAACTCCTTTTCAACCTTGTCTAACTATACATACATGCATGCACAAGCAAAAAGAATATAATTAAAATGCCTTTAATAAAAGACAATACATTAGCCAAAGGATCACTTGATATTGACTTTTCAAGTTCACTTCTGAAAGGAGAGCTCTCTTTGTGGGGCTGATTAACTTGACTATATGTATGTACACATGTACAGACAATAAATAAATAATGAACAAAAATAATACCTGATTTCTTCATCTCCCCAACCCTCAGTGGGACATGCAACAGGATGTAGGTATGTATCTAATTCAATAAAAAGAACAGCTGCTGTATTTCCATCAGGATTAACAGCAGTAGATCCAACAGGAGACATTCCTCCCCAACGTCCCTCACCACCAGATGTACTATAAGGCCAAAGATTAAGACGAAGCACACCTTGCCTTAACAAGGCTCTGTGATCCAGGATTTGCATGTTAACCCAATGAAGTGGGCGGTCAGCTTGAATGTTGTCTCCCCTGAGGGTATTCTGCTTTACAAAATCCTTCTTACTCCAAGTACTTGAACGCTTTCGGCTGTCATTACGACGAACTCCACCACTGACAGCAAAACAGAGCCTTGCAGCCTACATATGTGTACAAATACACAGTGACACAGTGTACATGTAATTGTTGTTCCTAGCCACAGTAACATTGCTATACATGTCCCTGGACACACGTACTGCATGTACATGTACACTCACTTTTGGTAAATTCTTAACTGCAATATTAAAAACCAGCCACTGGTTCCAACGGGGATATTTACATGCAGTAATTTCATGTGTAGAGAGAGTTCGGCAAAGTTCTTCACCACCATGGAAAACAGCCACATCAACATAAATAACATCAAAATCAGGAGAACAATCCCGTAAATTATCAAGACCCAAAATTCTCACTCTAACAATGGAATCTTCATTATGATCATGTACTAAATACATACGTTGTAAATACCTGAATTTATGCTGTAAATCCCACATTGACATTGTAAACACTTGAGAGTGTTCTTTACCAAGAGCTGACAACTCTTCATGTGTACCAGTTAGTCCAGTAGATTCATCAATCAAGTCCCACTAACAAATTTTTTGCCATAAGTACATGTACAGTACATGTATATCAAAGCTTACATCAGGGAAATGCTGTGGTAGATCATCCTTTGGGTCAGACCTTCTTACAAGAGCTAATACTATGTCCCGTCGTTTGCTTAGTGCTTTTACAATTGGTGAAAAATCTATCAGTTCAAAATTTCCATGAATGAAAGAGCTCCTTCCAGCAACTTTCAAAACATAGTCACTGATGTTGCTATTATGTGCATGTACGTGTGATCAATATTGTAATCATCTAATGACATTCTTACCAATGCTCTGGTAAACCTAATCTTTTTCTCTTGTGTGGTTCAGTGGGAAATACGGTTGGTAAAAAGTCATCAGCAACTGTATTGACTAAAAGAAAATTAACTAAACATCAAATAAAATAATAACATACCATCTACTTGAAACGTCTGAGAGGCTCCACTTTCATAATAAACTTTTACAAGCAACTTATTCTCTTCACCAATCTATAATGTATATAGGGAAAAGTAGAACATTGCACATGTTGATGTATTGCAACATTTTACCATAGCCTTCACATGTGGTGGCAAAGGAGTAAATTGGACTTCTACTTCCATTGAATACATAGCTGGATCTCGCTGCTGAACAGCCTTCTGACGCTCACTAATTTACATAATTATAACAGAAAATGAAACAATAAGCTTTTTGATATGCATAGTATAATTGTGTACATGTATAACAGCAGCACAGTCAGCCAGCTATGCTCACAATAGGAGCATTTCAACAAACTGTATTCACTAAAAGTTAACTGAACCTCAAATAAAATAAACACACACTATCACAATAGATGAACATTGTACATGTACATGTATAATGTACATGCATGTATCTACATGTACCTACTTTTATTTACTACTACTATTGCTTTTTTACACAAAAATATGTAAGTATGCATGTACACGTATATTTGTAGTTAATATACATTTTTAAATGTAAATTAAAAGCAAAAACTGTGTTTTATGACACAGCTCCATAACCTTATTGTCTGAAATTTTTGCAATTGTACTATGACAACTGCAAATTCTCAATTATTTTTTATGAATTAAAAATATTCATTGAAATTACAAAAATAAATGACAATGGAAATATGAAATCATGCATGTACAGTGTACAATGTAGTGAATGTACAGTAGGGCGCCTTTTTTCGAGAGTAGTAAATTTTTCCAATTTTGCAATTTTTTAAAATAGTTATTCACAAAAAATACTTTCATAAAAATTAAATTACGGTACAAGATGGCAGATAGCATAAATTCGTAAAAATTAAAACCACAAAATAGATTTTAAAGCAAATTCTCAAAATTTACAGCCTTCAAAACAAAGGCGACCTACAGTATGTAACGTAAATCATCATTATTCTAGGATGAGTGCAACAAGCTTTCAGCTGCAGCCTTTTCATGGACTTCTGACAAATTCATGCATCAACTGATACAATGATTTTACATTGTACATGTACATGTACATTGACTACATTAAAGAAGCAAAAATGACTATATACATGTACATGTGAACCTAATGTGGATTTAACAATAATCATTATTAACTAAATTACAATTGTTCACAGCATACATGTACATGTAAATACATACAATAAAGCCTATACAAAGCCAAACAAACCACACATAACAAATGTCCCCATAATATTAATATTTCTATATAAATGCAGCTACATGTAGCTAGCACAAAAACTACTATTCTAGTAGTGTTAATACATGTACAAATAAGTGTACAGTAAATCGCATAAATGAAAAACATTTATAAACATTTGTAGACTTTCTCAAGGTCAATGTAAAATACATGTATTGTAACTGAATTAACCAAAAACTGATTATTATTTCAACTTATAACAAATTTCTTTGTGATAATGATAATTGTAACACATGCAATCTACTTACGCAACCATCTTTCTTCTAGTAATATCTAGCTCATCATTATTAGCAAACTGTAGCTGATAGAGTCCAATGCCAATCATTGAGCTAATGGCCATGTTCAAGGTCTTCTCTTCCTTGCTCTCAGCTCTTTTTGTCACCACAGATAGTTGACCTTTCTGTCGTTTTTCCTGACGCCAAAGTTGAGCCACAGTTGTTGTTTGACTAAGAAAATAATTAAAACACATGGAAATGCAAAACCTTGAAAAAACTGGTACATACAATATTTGCTGCTCATCATACAGCTCATATACACTAGAATTCATTTCATATGTCAGGGTAAACTTCTCAGGATCCCACAGAGAATCACATTCTTGGGTAACATGGCCTTCATCCCTAATGTCACTAAATAGAAAATGTTGCACAAAAACTTCATACCTCAGGAGTCTCCAAAGAGATTGCTTGATTTGAGTAACAGTGTTATCACCTGCATTATAATAAATGATATTCTTTGATGCAATATAAGTGTACAGTGCATTACAGTGACATCACATACTGTACCTCTGATATCCATAGTAAGAATGATATTAGCAACCACTATATCAAAATCAACAACAAACAACTACATTAATAATGAGATCATAAATTGAAGTATACTCGATCTATAATTGTACTGACTTTGATGCTACCATAAACCTTGGTATGCTGTGGGCTAATCACAGTTGAACCATTACGTTTCCTACATGACAAAATGAATAATAATAATGACACATACACGTACCAACGAATTAACTTACGCTCTAAAAGTAGTTCTATTAAATGACCCCTATGACAAATACAAATGTAAATGTATATCACACCAAAAAGTAAATAGTAAATATAAAAACCTGTGCATTCAAAAGAGGTGATGGTAGGTTCAATACTGTATCATCATTGACAGGTAGTGGACTCAGAGTTGCCATTGCTGAGGCTCTACGTGAACTTAATTTTACTTTTCTTGAACGTAATGCTGACGATTGTTTTGCAGGAGTATCAGGAGGAGTGTTTTCTTCACAAGTAGGTAAAAGATTATTATCATCCACACCAGAAGTTTTGACAACTGTCTCTTGCTCTTCATCACATGTGCTATGTCTTATGTATACCCTTGGAGGATGTTGTACTTCACTTTCCTACACATCAAAATGACAAATTAAAATTAAAACACAACTTTACCTGACTGCTTTCACCCCCATGACTAAATGCATCAGAATCATGTAGTCCATCTTTTCCACCAAGTTTCCTACTACATGTACATGTACATACTTTAAATACAACATTGAAAAATATAAAGGCAAACCTCAAAACTTCAGATGCTTCTGATCCATACGACTGAATAGAACCAGTTTCGTCAATCATTGACATAGAATTAGAAAAAACTCTTTGAAGAGATTCTTCAGGCAAATTAAGTGAACTAGTGCCTTCACTTAAAGACATTACATCAGTTGAACCATACATGCGCTGTGACATATTATTGTCATATTCCTTCCTACCAGCAAGAAATATCATATGCTCTGAACTCATTCCCTTAGAACTAAGGGAGAGTGAACGAACAGGAGGATAGGGAGCACTATTTTTCACACTACATGTACAGTATATAGTGCAATAAAGGAGATAATAAGATTTAGTTTACACTAACCTACTACCAATTGTTTCTCTTCTTCTCTTGATTCGAGAGTCAATGTCAACTTCAATGGCGGAGCGAAAAATGGAAGATTCAAGGAACAAAGTAGGTGGATCTTTCAGAGAAGCTGTGCTTATATAGGAAATATTCTTAAGCTGAGTAGAGAGTGAAAATTCCTCTGATTTATCAACTGAAAAGACATGAAAGTCTTGAGTATCAATTAAGTCACTATCAGTTTCTGGTAAAGTTATTTTACAATCTCCCTAACAATGAAACACATTTTCATGATGGTGAAGAGACAATCATATATCCTGTTTGTGGCAAACTTTAAAAAATAAAGGGAGATATACATATACATGTATACATAGTGCAATTATACTGTAGCATAGGAGAAGGCAAACATACATGTACACGCCATAAATAGCTTGTATACAAGGCCCAAAATTCTCATACCGTACTAACGGGTTATTAAGCGTAGGCGCTTATGCAGAAAATGACAGAAAAACGGGCACTTAATAATGACTCTGCGCTTAATAAATACAGTAGGTGTGGTTTACAATAATAATTAATTAATCACTTTACTGGCTTTACAATGGCAGGTGGTGAAGAATGATCTTTTGACAGTCTGGTTCGTGGCCACAATGCTTATAAAAAGTGTCTGGACTCCTACTGCTTTAACTCCTACTGCTTGGACTCCTACTGTTTTGTACTGCTCTTAAGAAACCCATGCTAAGAGCTACATTGAGCTAGGCGCCTAATAAGAACTAGGCGCTTAACAACAAAGGGCACTTAATAACCTATTAGTACAGTATAACATATTTCAATACTTATGCTCACTAGATGCAATGAAATGATAATGATATACCATAAATCCAGACCATTTTGATCAGAAAATAAATTGAATAATGATTTGAATTTTTAGATAGTCATCATTATCCAAATAACTCTCATTTTCATTATAAGCTACATGTAGCTCCTCTAGAACCTGGCAGCTTATTTTAACTAGAAAGTATTGGTAGAGAGTAGAGACTAAAGAGGCATGAGCAGAAGTTCAGGGAAGCTACGAGAATTATAAAGAAAGAACTGAAGCTGGAGTAAAAGTCATGGATATAAACTAGATATTCTTTTAAAACAAATATAAAGTAGTTAATTTCTTAAATAATCTGAAAAATTAAATTTTTTGAAAATTTCTCTATTTACAATAAAGATACAAGAGTATAGGTTTACGGTAGAGCTACAAACACCTGTAAGTAGGTACACATGCATGTACAATTGTACATGCCGGTACACCATGCATTCAATTTTCTACCTACTAATCACGTCTAGTTATATTTCGCATGCACAAGCACATGTACATGTGCATTGTACGACTTGCATGTACAATACATGAATCGCATCTTGCTAAGGAATAATAATTATGCTCTTCAATACTAAATAAAATTTGGAACTGCATTTTGTACATTATTTAATATACAGTACATAATACATGTAGTATACATACCTACAGCACTGCACTAGTGGGTCAAAAATAAGTTGGCAGGCATCACATTTAAGTTGACTATAAGTTTGCTATAATTTGTATTATAGTGTATTGTATTCATAGAAAAACATACTAATTGTCAACTGATATTCTCCTTTTTCAAATGTCACCAAAATTTTTTGGGGGAAGTACATGTATGTGTAACTTGTGTACATGTAAATTCAAACATAATGTGGTGGCTTAATTATTTTATGTGATGACTTATCTACATATGTATGTTTTAATTGTGTTCCCCCAAAGTTTACTCTAGTTCAGCAATATGTCTGTCAGCCTATTGCTGACACGTCCAGCTTCAGTCATATTTCGTCATTACTATCTAATATCATCTAGAATGGCAAAGGAGTAGCACATATACTATACGTAAGCAGGTACCTGTAGCACTAAATTAACATACACAAACAGGCTGCCATTGAGGCACCACATTGCCTTTTTCTTTGATAATTATCTATACTTTTCTGTGATGACAAAAAGTGATCACAGTATCAGGTACAATTCTTATACTATTTTGTTTACCAAGTGTATGGTGTTCCTAACAACAAAACTGACATAAACCTATTTAGTCTTGCCACACCCCTTTGCTACCTTGGAGGAAGGGTCTGGAGACACTCGTAGTAAAAAATGTTGCTATATGCAGAGAAATCTATGTCCCAATCAGATTGCTCGAACCACGTGTAGGACAAGTAGTCATGTAACCAAAGAGCTCTTCTAAGATAAAAGAGGAAGGAAGATTGAGGACCAAATAAAGGTAGGAAGGAGCCTATAACACTTCATCGATTTCTTTCTCAAGGTTTAAGAGAAGCATTATTATGCTGGTTACTACAATGACGCCATCGCATTTATAACACAATAATACTGTCACGTGTTACAATAAAACTTCATCAATAAAAAGGAAATGTTATGGCACTCTGTGATGAGTTGCTGCTATCAAATCTGCAAGAGATGTCAAAGAGGCTTATCCTTATCTTCTTTTAGAATCTCTTTCAGCTGTTTTGACTGATGTAGTCTCTTCTGTCACATGACGTAGAGCCAACCACGTGCTCTTCTTTGCACACATTTTAGATGGCATGCAGTGTCTCCAAACCCTTCCTCTGCAGGTAGCGAAGGGGCAGGGTGAGACTAACACTTATTTACATTAACTATTCACCAAAATAGACTAAGACACAAAATAATTATACAACATGTAGTTGTACTTATAGAAAGATTCCTAATTCCAGATGACAGGAACGAAGGTGTATCAGGCCCTCCCACAATGCATGATATGTACGTGTACATCCCAGAATGACCAGGAAAACAAACCTATCTCATTTGCTTACACTTATTAAGAACAAAACAGAGGCTCTGGGGACTATAGCACACATGTCCTAGATACAGCCCCAGAACTAACAACAAAAAATGCTCACTTCCAACGCCTTTAGAGAAACGTCAAGGAATTCACCCAGTGTTACTTCCAAATCTGTCACTGGTATATCTTCAAATGTCTCTCCTGAACTCAAAGAGAGCAACACGGTCAGAATGGATGGTTCCGACATTATTAAAAGCAAGACAAAGCGAGCAAAGAACCAGTCAACCAGAGGGACGAGAGTCAAGTCAGTCAACCACTATTAACAAAGAGGCGTGGTCAGCACTGCCCCAGGCACCCCCTCCCACTTTGTTGCATAGCAGGGATAGAACTAAAACTGTAGCTTCAAAACTGAGACTGCATGTCACTTTGTAGCAATAATTGCTATGCAAAGAACTTCGTTAAAATATATCAGTAGACCATTATACTTCAAACCATAAACCAAAACACATCACAATTGCTTTTCAGAATCAATAATTTTTATTAAAATAATAATTGATAAAAAAATGAAGTACAACTATTATAGTTAAGAAGTATCCATTGGCTGTGTGTTGAAAGGCGGAGAGTAAGGTATAAGAAGTTCATCATAAATTAATCCTGTGAAAACTAAAATTAAGATACCTAACAATTTCATCTCACTTTTCCAAGCTTCAGTGTCAAGATCCTTATCCTCTGTTTCATCAGTGTACTGCTGGTCACATATTGGCTACAGAATTACAATACATGTACTTGTACAACACAATAAAGAAACAATGCATCATACCTCATCATCAGAACGATGCAGCCAACTAAAATATGGATGCTCCAACGCTTCAGCAGCTGAAGGTCGTCGATCAGGATCAAGATGAAGAAGTTTCTCTAACAAATCAACAGCAAGAGGATTTGCGCCTGTGAAATATTCCTTAAAATTTTTTTTTGCAAAAGTTGGCAGGCTTCTAATATATGTACGAGCCTAGTTGTAAGAAATTCCACAAAAATAAATGTGTAAGAAAATATAATAGTAACTTACATCATCAGAATCAATCTTACTCATCATTTCTTCATCAGGAGTTCCACAAATTTGAAGAATGGTATTAAGGTGGTCTCGATCTTTAAATAATACAATTAAGGCAAATAACAAAATAGTCCATTTCTTTCATATAAAAAATACAAAGGATACAGTTTTTACCAAAGAAAAGAACACGACCAGTTAGTAATTCTGCTAAAATACAACCAACAGACCATATATCAACTACAAACAAAAGTAATAGCATATAATTTATTGCTACCAACACCTTTCTGATCATAATGCATCCACTGCAATAAAACTTCCGGAGCACGCCAAAAACGAGTTGTAACATAACCTACAAGTACATGTACATCATAACAATTGACATAGTCATGTTTAAGAAGTAAACCTGTCATTTCTCCTTTCTTCTTTCTTCCTAAGCCAAAGTCTAAAATCTGATCCAATAATGATGACACACATAATTTAAAAGAAAGTTTACATACTTTAATTTCCAAATCAGAGCTCACACCAATGTTGCTTGGCTTAATATCCTAAAATTTAGTTAATATGCATTATGCAATATCAAATTTTTCACTTTACCCGGTGAATTACACCTGCTGAATGTATATACTAACACAAAATAAATACAATTCAAAAAGGATGTTAGAATACTTTCAATCCTCTTAATATCTGATACACTAACAGCTGAACTTGGTCGTCAGTAATAGGTTGTATCTTAATAGCATTGTCTAAATCACTCTGCATAAAACAAGTCACTAAGTAGCTGCATTTCAATAATAAAACGGCCATTCATAACTAAAGCTATAAATATTACATACACTCACATGTCATTAAATGAATCCAAAGAATCATTTGGAGTAAAAACATCTAAAAGTTCAACTACCTATAAATAAATAAAAACATAAATTCCTTTATTTTTATGACAACAATTATTGACAAACATTAGCATTTGAACGTGTCAGCATCTTTAGTAATTTGATCTCTCGGTATGCCCTTTTAGCATGAACAGGACTTTGAAATGGTCGGGCTAACTTCTTAAGAGCAACTTTCTCTCCTGTCTCACTGTCCACTGCACAGCTAAAGAAATGTGCATTATACAGAAAATGAAGTCAAACAGATAAATTCCAAAAGGCAAATACCCTACCCCCAAAAATATCAAAACAAAGTAAATCATATCCTGTGTTAGTTAAATGTACATGTGCACGTACATGTATCAAAGAAGCTATAAATTTGTAGTACTTAAAACCCTAACTATAAGTTGATATTGCACCAAAAAAGAAAATTGCTTATCTACATGTACATACACTGTTTCTCCTTTTTACGACCATAACGCCACACAAAATTTAATTTTGGCCAATTTTGCGTCAACGCCTGTGTAACTTTGATCATTTAATTGAATGTAAACCTTAATTACTTTATAACTGTCTAAGAGACTTCTCTAGAGAAATACAAGAAAAATCAAAGCCAAGATGGGCAAATTAACACATGTAGCTAATTGAATATAACTTGTGGTTTGTGCCCTGAAACCTGCAAAAATAGCAATCAGTAACAGGGGTGGATCCAGGATTTTGCAAATGGGGGGGTTGAGTGACAAAATGGTGCGCGAAGCGCGCCGCGATTTTGGCCATGCCCCCCTTTTCTGCGCTATTTTGTGGTTAAAATTACGTGAAAATCAACTTTTCCACCATTTTTGAGCTCATTCTTTGTTAATTATATTCATTAACCACAGTAATGTTGCTATATAAACTAGGTGGTTAGCACTTCCACCACTGTTGCAACAATAAAAACATTAAAAATTTTTTGAGTTAGAATGTTTTGGGGGGGTTGCAACCCCACAAACGTACCCCCCCCTAGATCCACCCCTGAGTAAGTACCTTTCAGCATTTACTACTCAAAGTAGTAACTAGTAAAATACTATATATATGGTAATTTTCATCTGTATTACATTTTTGGATGCATGGCTTTTTGCAAAATCAAAATTCATAATAATTTTATTCATGCATAAATTTTTGTATGCCAAATTTTGCGCAGATACCACGTGCATTATTGTCAAGGCATAGTAAAATGGTGCTGCTTGTTTTTTTTAAAGTATCTCTTCCATGGCAAATAGCAGACAGTCTAATAAACGAGATACGTGTAGCTCCTCAAACTCAGGTACTCTGCAGGATCATTCACAAAATCTTTAAAATTCTTTACAATGTATGTTATTAAATTTCGGAGAGGAGCCACTATGCGAAAATAAAACTACAGTACATGAAATTTTTCTGTCTGAAAATTTTCTTTAATAAAATTACCTGATATACGGTATGTATCAGAAAAGAACAAACTAATCCAATATACTGTAGTGTATTTTACCCATTATTATTGAAAATTAAGTTGCAGCTAAAGCTTAATCCTAAGTACAACTATGATAAAGTTACAGATAGTCCTTGATGAATACAGTTGCCACATATGCTGTCATTGTTCGCCATATACGAGTTTCTCTGTCCCCTAGTTCGAGCTGGTCAATGTTGACCAATACTTCTTTAGTCTTTCCTTTTGAAATACCCTAGCTACATGTACCTATGCTTCTTTTTGACTGATTTCACTGCAAAAAAATTTTAATACTAACAATTAAATGACATTTTTGACAGTAGCTTGAGAGTGACATTTTTTGCTGCAATAAAAATTAAGCTCTGTTATCTATATTGCTATTACCAAAGCCCCTAAACATCCATTTTGTCATTCTTGTTAGTAGTCATCCAAGAAAAAATATATGTACAAACATATGCAACAAAATATTCCAATCATTTGCAGAAGTACAGAACAACAACACGTGTGTTACTAGTTAGTAATAGAAAAATGTCACTGTATTTCTCACAAGTGTCTCAAAATATACAGGTAGCAAAAATTTTGACATACATGTATTGCCTTCACCATCTGGTCTACTGTCAATAGATGTGGCTACTTATTTCATCATTAATCTTGCCCTACAAATTCTTTTGACAGATACTTAAACTTTTTCATTTTCCTAAAATTGACAAAATTTTAGGTGACAAATATAATATTAGAGCTATCATTAGGAGGTACAGGTGTCTAACTAAAATTCAAATGAGGAAGTTTAGAAAGACTCTCCACAGACCACAGTTGTTTTTTCTCTTCGGCTTTTAAAGTAGCAGCGAGAGTTGGCACAAGTTAATAAATTATTGTAGTGCTTTGCATATTTTCTGTAAAAGAAATGAGTCTGCTATGAGTAAATGACATCACATAACACTCAAACCAAAGGTACTAAGGAAGCTACACTGTACTTACACCCATAGACAATTACCGTAATGTCTCTAAAAATTCGGCACTATAACTTTGAAAATAAATAATTATTTGGGAGAAATAGTACCTAAAGTAAATATTCGTCACAAAAAATATCCCCACCACGTGTTCTAATTTCGTCAGGATTCTCAATAATATTCATCTACTGTCAATGGAGTGGCAGGTAAGCAGTGACTTGGCAGACTTTCATGATGCACTCACGCACCACCATGCTGCCTCTAAATTCATCAAAAATAATTATTTTGACATAATTATTTCCGTTTGACGCCTAACATATCGTTCTCAAAATTACCTGCCCCAAAACGGTGATGACTAATTTTTAGAGAAATTACAGTAGTCCACTCAAAGAGAGCAAAGTGTTTATGGTACAGAAATAGAATTTAATACATAGTTTTAGTCAACGAGGCAAAAATATTTGCTGTAAGTATAAAGTAGGTATGTCTATTACCAAGAGTACATACGGTAATACCTAAAGAGAGTATCCAACAGCCCTATAGCAGACTGCTGCATGAGGGCCTATTTGCTCAAAGTCACAATCCGCACACTCCAGTATACTTACCATATCACGTGATCAACCATGTGGCAACATTATCTGGCCCTTAGCTTTAAAAACTTGGTAATCTCTTCCAATACAAGAAAGGAACTGAAAGAAGGCTGGAAAGATGAACTACAAAGACAATGCTGCTAGTATCCAGGAGTTTGTGCCCCAAGCACTTGCCAACTCGTGACAATGGCAACTCAATGTCTACACAATAATTATATTCATTGATAAAGTATACTGGAGTATGCGGATTGTGACTTTGAGTAAATACGCCCTCATGCAGCAGCTTGTATAGGACCATTCAATACTTTCTTTAGGTATTATGTACTCTTGCTATTACTCAAAAGCCTATGACCATAGATATTAGAGTAAATGAAAGGGATTGGAAACGGGGCGTAGCAACAGGAAATGCGGGTTGGATTACCATGTGACAATTATTAGTGTTTTGATTGTATTCCCCCCTCCTCCATTGGTGAAGTTGCTCTGGAAGGATTTCAAAGGAATTTTATGTTGCTCCAGGATAGCACTTGCTTATGATATATGGCCTATTCCACATAGAATATTTAGAGCTACCTGCAGCAAGGTTTTTGTCTCCATAAAGCCAATTTGCAGGCAGTTATACATGTAGGTACACAAAGTCGCCTGTTTTTTTAAACACTTCATCGTTCGTAAAACACTCACGCTTCATAGTATCAACAAGTACGTGTAAGTTAGCTCTTTCCACAGGAGATTTCAAGCTCTTTAAGATGATTATACTTATTCCTGGCTCAAGAACAAAATGAGTCTTTCAGAGGGGGAAAAGATAGTATTTTTAGTGAAAGACTGACAAAACTACTTACACACACATTGATTTGCTTAACATAAAATATTAATAAAAAGCATAAACACTGGTTAGTATTGTGTGTTAATTTTGTTTGCATAAATGGCACCGTCTTGGCGTTATTCAAAAACAAAGCAATAGAATCTGTGATTTTTGCTCCAAAATCTGCCAAAAAATGACCACCCGCCTCTGTTTAATTAGCAACAAAACAAATAAATGGAGGTTCAATCCCTTTCATTTACTCTAATATCTATGCTATGACAACAATCTTAGCATAAGGTGTACAATGAATCCAAGATTTTTAAATTCACTAATTTTGCAATTTCAAATACATGTATTCAGGAATATTATTTTAATCTATGACAACTACTTTTATACCAAAAATGGTCAGTAAAGAAAGACATAAAATTTTATCCTTGCATTGCCTTGTAAATTTGCCAATAGGTGCCAAGGTGATTTCATGCTTGGAAAATCAACCCACTATACAATAATTGACATAAAATAAATACAGTATTGTGAAGCATTGCGTTACAAATATTATTTCAAACAAAAGTGCAATACTTCTTGTAAAAAAATTTAAAATACAGTACTACTGTCCTAATTTCTAAAAAAGATTTAAATACATTCAGAAGTAAGACATAATTGTCTTGTTCGTTGGGTTCTATCCTTGGATTTAAACAAGCCTATTTTACTGGGTTTCATGATCAATAAAATATGCAAGAAGCATAAGGGGTAACCTCGGGGGTAACAAAAAACGAGGGTTGCTTACCAAACTGTACTGAAGCCGCCAATTCCAATAGGAGACATATCTTGGTACCTTTCCTTGACAATCCAGGTATCTCTATTTATATCTTGTCTATAAAAACCTGGTTTCAAAGGCTTTGGGCTTCTCGGTGAGCTCAAAACAGAGCTCATATCAGCAGCTGCCATCTTTAGACTTGTATTAATATTGTAGATCTATTGCCACGCCCTGACTATTTTGGGTGTGCTGTTGGGTGTGTACAAAATTCTTGAGATATGGCTGCCGCTGACAAATCTTTAAAGGAGGGTTTTCATAGGATTGAACTGTTTAAAGCTGAATGGGAAGTTCCTTTAAATTATAGAGAAATTGCTTCTATTGGTACAGGAGCTTATGGTACAGTGTGGTAGGTCGAAAAAATAAATGCTAGTGTTTTCCTCTGTATTTTACGTCCCTTTTATGTAGCTCTGCTACCGACACACATTATAACATTAAAGTGGCTCTTAAGAAGTTGGCCCGACCATTTCAGAATCATGTTCATGCCAAACGTACTTACCGAGAGCTTAGGTTGCTCAAACATATGAAACATGAAAATGTAGGGCTGCACATACACCCACATCCATAACCTCATCCCTCATTCATTAGATTATTGGGCTACTTGATGTTTTTACTCCAGCTGAGAATTACGAAAATTTTCAAGATGTGTACGTACCCCTAATAAATTTTTGTTTCCATTTTTTAATAGGTATTTGGTGATGCATTTGATGGGTTCCGATATAAATAATATTCTAAAGCAACAGGCATTAACTGATGAACATGTACAGTTTCTTGTCTACCAGATTTTAAGAGGGCTTAAGGTACACCAATGAACAACCTATGGTGATCATTATTAATTTTGTTTAGTATGTTCACTCAGCTGGAATAGTTCATCGTGTAAGTTAGTATTCTATAAATTTATATCAAATTAATTGTGTTTCAATTGCTCAAAATTTTTAGGACTTAAAGCCTAGTAATATTGCTGTCAATGAAGACTGTGAGCTTAGGGTATGTCAAAAGCTAGGTTTAGAATTATACGCAACTTGACCCACTGAGTCAGTTGCATAGATATGACAAATTGGCAATAATGTACACGATGCATGTGTTAAGCCGCCAGGGATGATTTAAATTTCAGTCTTATAACATGCACATGTATATCAATTGTGTGAATTTGTGTATAATTGTACCATAGAGATACAAAATTACAAGGGTCTTAATTTTGTTTCTTTGTGAAAGCTCTTAACTTTTAAATTTCATGAGGATGTTTTTGTATGTGCATATGCATTAACCACACATGTGCAGTGTGTATTACACAGTACTAATTTTATGGCTAAGAAACCACCCAAAAAATTTACGAAATTAAATAATCTCTATAATTTTATACCCATACAGTATTGCAAGCAATGCTACATTATTTAATTGTTGTACAAAGATTTTAGATTTTGGATTGGCTCGAGCTACTGATCAAGAGATGACAGGCTATGTTGCAACACGATACTGGCGGGCTCCTGAGATTATGCTCAACTGGATGCATTATGGAAAAGAAGGTTGTAATTATTGTTGTTGCTGTAACAAGTTACTTTCTCTACATTATAGTTGATATGTGGTCTGTTGGATGCATCATGGCAGAGTTGCTTACTGGACAAGTTCTGTTTCCTGGTTCAGATCATATTGACCAACTAACTAAGATTTTGCAAATTGTTGGGACACCAGACCAAGAATTTGTGACAAAAATAACAAGTGATACTGTAAGTATAACGTCGATATTTAACTTTTATGACTTCTTTTATAGGCAAGGTCCTACATTGAATCACTACCAAAATATCCAAAAAAGGATTTCCACACTTTTTTTCAGGGCGCCAATCCTTTAGCAATAGATCTGTTGCAAATGTTATTGACTATTGATCCAGACAAAAGAATTACTGCTGAACAAGCATTGCTTCATCCTTATATGGCTAATTACTCTGATCCAGATGATGAGGTATAATTATGCTCTTTCATTGACTAAAATCTTATGTTACTTATTTTAGCCTATTGCACCTCCTTATGATGACTCGTTTGAGAAACTAGAACTTGATGCAGAAGGATGGAGAAGTTAGTCAGCAAGTAATCTAATGTAATAATTACTTATAATTTTCTATTAAGAAATGGTATGGGACGAGATTCAATTGTTTCAAAAGGATCCCTCCCTCTATCAATAACAATGTAACATTAACAACTTTCTTAAACAAAAGAACAATTAATTTTATGTTGGTTATTAATTTTTGCTAATAATATTTTTAGTAATCCTTATGTTTTGTTGACTTAAATGTAATACTTTTACCAGAAAGTATGGTTTTAAAGAAGTGATATGCTTCTCCTTTTTCTGTTGTTACAATAGCAGGTCTTAGAGCTTGTGAAATACTAGAGACCATGTGAGCTTCAACATGTAAAATGTTCTGTTTAAGTAATGATAAAATTATTAGATAGTATTGTATTGTACCTGCAATGCCTTAGGAAGATCAAAAGTATCCAGAAGTAAACCAACGGCACTGTTAATAGCTTCCTACAGGTTTAATATAATACATAAAAGATTGTACCAACATAAAGTACCAACATACAGTTAGATCTGATGGTGGGACTTGCTTTGACTGCTCAAGGGCACGTTGTCTCATTCGTGATGGAGAACGAGAAAGGGGACGGAGTGCTTGTTGTGTCAGATAAGTAGCACAATCATTCGCTAAATCACACCACATTGTTCGTAGTTTACGTAATTTACTTGGGGTTGTACAAAAACTGTATAATTCAATCTCCATTGCTTGCACAGACACAGAGGGATCGAAACTATGTACTACCTTTCCATTAAGGCCTACAAAGCCTTGAACTTTATTGGTATCATTTATCCACAAAACTGTCACTTCTTTTTCCCCAGCTTTCAAACATGAATTTGTTACACATTTTGGCTCACTATCAGTATTGGAAATGTGCTGAATAATAGACATAAATGACTTTTCTGGGATGCAAAGTCGAAAGGTTGGACAATTAGATGAAAGAAAGTTAAATAATAATTTAGCTTTGGGTAACAGGGTACAAGAAAAATGATGTAAGTGGCCAAATAGATCTGATTTAGTAAGAAAACAGTGTTTCAAAAAATGCTGAAAGTTGGCCAGAAGGCAAAACCATGAAATTCTTGAAGTACATTTTTGAGAGAAAGGAAGAAGTGTATCCAAACTTGGAACATCAGTATTAGTGATGAGGCCCTCTAATGCAGGAGCTATATTGCTCATGTCAAGAAGAGCAACAGGAACTTCAATTTTAGACGGTATAGCGGTTGTGCGACTGCTGTAAAGATCACATGTCAGATGCTGCAACTTTTCTAGTTTATCATGTATATCGGCACCATATTTGAGAGCACACCATCCATGATATGTATGCTCACTTTTTGTAGCTACCAAACAATTGTTTTCAAAACTATACTTATGTGAAGACATCTCTTGGGTAAATAAACAGTAAATCTTACACAGAAGATAATAGTCAAAGGGTAATGCATACGACAATGCTTCTGCCAAAATAGAACTGCTTTCTGCTTCATTGACGTCATGTTTCACAAGCAAAGAAGCATTGACAAATGCCAGAGTAGAGAGCATGCTGTCACATGACATTGCTGAGTGCTTAGCAACTGCAGTGACTTTTTCCAGCAGCAATTTAACAGAGCTAATGCTGGTACCATCAGCTAAATCTAACTGAATTAACCTTAAGTGTGCTTCAACAAACAGTGGGAGTTGATAATTATAACAATTATCCAAACATAAGCAACTAGTAACATCATTGGAAAGTTCTTGTAGCTACAAAAAATAAAATGATCAATAGACACATAATATTGAAACTTACTTGATCATTCAAAATTTTTATAATACCACTATAAATAGCTTTCATTTTCTCTAATGATGTACTTCTTGACATAATTTCTGCCATAAGCAGCATAGCATTGACTTTGAGGCACTTTGCTGATGATGATAATATTTTGCAATGATTTAATAAGTCAATGCAAGACTGAACAAAAGAGGTAACCTCTTCAACTGCTGGAGGCTGGATAATATAATGATAGAAGGCAGAAGTGAATAGTAAGTGGCAGCTAGTTTCATAATCACCATACAAGACACATTCCTTAGAGGCTACTGAGAAAAATTCCTCAAAAACTAATGGATTATCTTGACATGGCAAAATTTGTATCAAGGACTTCAATAAAAGTAATCGAGAATGTAACCACATTCGTAGGTCAAAGTTGTACGATGCTTTCTGCATAACTCTTAATGTAGCTAAAGAAATTTGAGTTGCAGCTAATCCTTGACACAATGAAAGTGAAATTTCTGCTAATAATTGATGCGATCTGACATAAATTGTGAAATGCTGCACATCTGTAAGAAAAAATTAAAACATAAAAATATGGTAATTAAATATGCCTACTTACAAGTTTTGTCATTTATAAGGTCATACAGTACCTTTTCAGCAGTACTGAGTAACACAGCTTTCACGCCAGAAACAGTTGTGTTCCCAAGAGGCTGAATTTTTCTTAATTCAAATTCTGGAATATCATTATGCATTGCTGCCAACTTGATAAATATTAACGCTTTACATAGAATAAGTTCATTATATGAACAGCTGCCATAAATTTCCTTTAATGATATTGGAACTTGTTTTTCAGTTAGTAAACTTAGGAACTTTAAGTTCTGAGTGCTGTTGATAAAAGACTGATCATCAAACTCACTCGATATGTTAATGTTACTGATGTTGAAGTTGAATTCACACACCAATTGAGGTAAGTGATTTCCAGTAATCAAATTAAGCAGCAATTTAAATGCAGTACTGAAGAATCCTAACTGAACTAATGATTGTAATTTGAGTAGGCGTGCTAGCACCGTATGCTCTACAGAACGAGCACAGTTATAGGCAACAGATTCATAAAGGCAAACTATTGGTAGCACTTCCAGTGAATATTGGCTATAAACTAATTCCTTAGCAATAAACTGCAGCGAACAAAGAAGGCAGGATGCATCAATAAAGTTGAAGACCTTGTGTTCAAGCTTATTTCCAATAGTAATATTGAAACCAATAAAGCTAATATCCTTTTCTGGAAAAAGTAATGAATGGTGTTGTATAAAATTCTATATGGGAGAAAAAAATTAATTGAACAATGCTAACCAGTTATAGAAGCCAGAAATTACTAGTAACACAGTATAGCAGGTTATTTTCGAGGGTAACAAATTTTGCGAATTTCGCGAATTTTTCAAAATTCACGAAATTAAATTCCTTGAAAATCAATTTAATACGATAAAAGATGGCAGAATAGTGAAAATTTGCAAAAATTAATTCAGCAAACTTCGGGACACGGGTCATTCGCGAAATTTATTATCCTTGAAATTAACCCACTATACAGTAATCACAAATGTTTATGACAACAGTGTGCAAAAAGTTTCATACTTTAAAAAGTACAACAGCCAAAAGAATATAATCTAATCGAACATTAACTTCTGTAGTACAAACATACCTATTAGAATGAATAATTATCATATTGTATACATGCATGTACTAACTTTGCTATGTGACTCGACAATACACCACCTATTATGCAAGAAAATTCATCAAGTTTGCAGCCAGAGAGTCTCTTCCATTCATTTGCAGGATTCTCACATTTTAACACTTTCTTAAGACCAAGCTTCCACCAGTAACAAGCCAATCTTAAGAAGAAATAATTTAAAAGTACATACATGTACATGTACTTGTATCTCTAAAATGAACTGTCTTACTTTAACTGACTAGTCATATACATCAAATTCCCCATTATCAACAAGCACTGTACAGCAAGATTTATCCTATTAGCTTCAACAAGTCTGTCATATGCTTCATGGTATGTGACAAAAATGTTTTTAATGTCAGCAGAAGGAACAACAGTATCAGAAATCCTATGTCTATTAAGAAGCTTTATAAGTAATTTGTGTGCCTGTAAAAGCAAAATTTCTCCACTTTCTTTGGCAACAGATGCAGCTCTATTAGATGAAGAAAATTCATTGACATCATTACTGAGGCACATATTTGTCATTCCAAGAGAATGGCCAACTTTATCATAGAGGTCATAACTAAGGACATCAAGATGGGCTGCAGGATCAATTGGTTTTTGCTGAAAATGTCTAGAATGAATCTTGATTCTTTGAGCTAATTGCTGTCTTGCCTTTACAATGACAGGATTTAAGAGGTCTGACACGCTGCAAGTATTATACAAATACAATTCAAATGTAATTACTGTGATTGGCAAGGTAATGCAGCTTACTCTATAACAGAAAGAACCTTTTCACTAAGGGCAAGAACTTTCTCCCAGTGATGATTTACAAAAGAAACTTGAATTGCCAGAAGTACAAACTGTTTAAGGAACTTAGTACTGTACAATCTTTGATTGCTAATCTGAATACAAATTTTATACGATTAATTTAGTTTAAGGCTAACATACATGTACAGTGCTGCCATTGTCTACACATAAATGCATATCTGTCAACAACAAAGACTGCATATATAATGCTTTTAATGAAAGGCCATACAACTGAGACAAGGTTAAAGTACCTGTATCAATATAAAATATGAGTAATGCATGTAGTTAACTTACAGGTACTAGTTTTGCTGACAAAATTGTGCAGAATAGTCAATCCATTCCATAATCCGCGACAGGCATTGACAAGAAGTACCCAACATTCACCACGAGAGCTCAACACCTAACCAATAAAAAACCTAGACATGTCTGCACATGAACATGTATAAGCTCACTGAAGCTCTTTGATAGCACACAAACATCTGATTCAAAAGTCTAACAACATGATCCTCATTTCTTTCTTGAACATTACTTCTTTCATGACTAGGCATACAAGGTGGATAGGGGAGAAGCATTTCCTCCAGAAAAAAGCCTTCAACATCCAGCCTAGAATACTTAAATGGCAAGTCTTTTTTAAATGAATTGCATAGTCGATCTAAAAGACATGATGCAAGAAGTATATTGGCCTAATAAAAATAAAATATAACAGCACAATCAGAGTAAATTTACATACTTGAGCTCTCCAAGAATGTTCCTCAATACAAGCTAAACGTAGTCTCCTTCGGCAATGAGAAGCCCGCCATAACGATGGAAGTAAGCTCTGTAACACAGCTATAGCTTTTGCACCAAGGTCATCACGTGTAATTCTTTGCTTCAGTACAGCTAGACACTAGAGTTGTATTATTGCAGTTAAACATGTACTGTACTCTCTATGCAATAAAATACCGTTTCTGCTTTTTGAACAGATTTGGAACGACTGGTTCCTGCAGAAGTTATAGCTTTTCTGGAACTGTTTTCACTTGAAAGGCAATGTTGCTGTCTCGATGATCCACTAGGTCCAGCTGCTTGGGCTATTGGATTCTTTGGTGGCAAAGGTGGTTCCTTTGGCTGATCTGATTTATGTATTTGAGAAGCTTTTGTCGACAGCAATATTTCATTACGTCTATTAAAAAAAATATGTGCATGTACTAATGTACACATGTAACTTACTTCGATAGCCACAAAAACACATCAGAAGACCAATTACAAATCAAATCACCCTTTCCTTCTTTCATTACTTTTCCACAAAGATGTACAAAGTACTCCAAGTACTGTGGTCGCCTTTTAAACTTTAACACTGGAGCCACACAATCACAGTATAAAAAATCAAAATCTACATGTACCTTCTTTGTATGCTGCTTGCACAGGCAATGATTTTATGGCAATATGAAGAAAAACAGGATCTTCTTGACCCGTTAAATCTAGTTCCTCTATAGGTTTCATTTCTAATAAGAAGGCATTTACATGTACAAATAAAAACAAAGTGAAAGCACATACCCAAAGTACACATATAGTATGCTCCTAATGCTTTATATTGTAAACTTTTAGCTTCATCAGGGATATCATCGCTTAAAGTTAATGCTTTCCTTCTTTTCCTTCGTTGCTGGCGGTAAGACTTATCAATTGTCTGAGGGACAACTGAGCTCTGAGATGCAAAACTCATCGTAGAAGTCAGAGCAGTAGATGTTGAAGATAACAATGAAGGATTTTGCAGAGAAGCATTAGCAGATGAAATACGGTGAGATACATTTGAGGGCAGTGTAAGAGTCAACAAAAATCTACTATTTTCTGCTAGTGTTGAAGCTAATGAGGATTCATTAAAACTGGATACAAACTAAAAAATAACCAAATCACAGCAACAATTATTTATATGCAATGTACCTTAACCAGACAGAAACTTAAAGAGGAAATCATGTGATGAATTCCTGATATAGTTGATTTGCTTGTTAGGAGATTATCAGGTAACTCTTGCAACACAGCATGACATAAAAGTAGAATCTATACCAATGTACATATAAGTTAAGAAAAAATTACGTCTATATACTAACCTCTATTAAATGATAGTTAAATATAAAGTGTTGCATATAGGGAACCAGCAACACATAAAGCAGAACCACAATTTGCAGGCTCAAAGAGTGATCATTAATTTTAGCTGACACTTTTAAGGCAATACAAAGCTTTTCAATTAAATTCATGCGTCTGCTTTCAAATGACAATATTGATTGAAATGTCGAAGTGGGAAAAATATCACAATCCTTCAAGCTAGCTTGTACACAAATTAAAACACTAGTTGTGAATAAGTGTAGCAAAGAGAGTGGAGATTCCTCTACAATTTTTTCCTTCAAACTGTAACATGCATCTATAATTTTTAATAAAAATAAAAATAAAACATACCGATACTGCAGTACGGATGACCATTCAACATCCTGTTGATCAACAAAGTAACTCCATAGTACATCAGAACTCTGAACAGCAAGAGCAAAGTTATTTAACTGAAAAGCAGTCTGAGACACAAATCCCCAAATTAAACAATCAGAAAGAGGACAGGATGCCAATATGGGTTTTGTTGACAAGCCAATACTGTCTCCAATTAACTGTCCTTGCATACCATAAGCAGCAACAGCAAATATATACTTTGAATAGGGCTGAAGGCCAGAAACATGTAAAGTACAGCCTGTCTGTGCCACAACCTAACAATAAAATGCATGCCATTAATATTGAGTTATTATACATGTACGTACATGTATACATTAAATTTAAAATAAAAAGCTACCTGTACCTCTATTCCCAAACCAGGAAAATTATAGTCACTGAGACGAACTTTACTTCTGTTACTAGTAGCAATGCATCCATATAAAGCAAAATATGCCACATCAGCAGCATCAAAAGGAGCTGGAATGAAAGTCATTTCCGTAGAAGATTGCTCCAAAAGAATAGGTGCACATGGTACAGAAGCATTTGAGGTTGGATCAGCAGATTCATTTTTAACTGAAGAAAGATGAGCAACAGCATCCTATTAGTACAATAATATTGTACATTTGATACAATAAAGTATTTTCTAACTTTTAAAAACTGTGACTGTTTCTCTTGAGGAAAATGCATTGCCAAATTAATTAACAGCAGAGAAATTTGCTGTCGATCAACACCACACTCATCTTTAAGGCTAGCTTCAGTAGGAACAGGACTACTTGTATCAACAGAGCCAGCAATCTACACAACAGTATTCTAACAACATTTTTGAACCACATGTATGTTCACCTCTTGCCAGGCTTCCAATTTTTCTTGTCTTTGCTTGACCATATGAGGTAACATTGAAGGTTTTTTTAAAGATTCGGTAGGACCTAAGGTATCCAAATCATAGCCATTAAAACAAAAATTTTTTCACTTACGTTCAGGAAGTGCAGTTGAAGCTAACTTAGTTTTCAATCGCCATAATGCATTACACAATTCAGTGTGGCACTGGATTAGCATATTTGTAGCAAAAGTGCCTGATTTTATAACAGAAGAAACATTCTTCAAGGAGTTCTCAACAATTTCTAAACAAGACAACAACTGACTACGGTCATAACTAACACAAGAAGCTCCTAAATTTAGTATAAATATAATAAAGAATGTAAGGGATAAACCAACCATCATGATGTTTATTTGTAGCTGAGACTGGCAAGCCAACATATGCTTCCAGAAGCAAAATATACTTTAGTACGACTTCACAATACAACAATGGATCAAAAAATGGCAAACTAACACCAGTAAATAGAAGAATCATTTTCTTCAATAAATCGAGGAACTACATGTATATGCATAAAAGAAAAAATTTAAAACAGCCAAGATATCAAAATTTTACTTTAGATGAACTCAAAAGGGACCTAAAACAGCTGCTATTAGAAGAAATTAAACCTTTATAAGTGTCACAAATTCTTTCCCATACGATTAGAGACGAATCAAATAGAACATTACGTGTTACAGGATTATCAAAGGAAACAGTACAGATAAAATCCAACAAAGAAACACTACTGTCCAAAACTGAAATGTACTTAATGTGATTTACATTAAAATCTCAATACTTACTCTTTTTATCTTCAGTACCTTGTTTTATAAGTTCACGAATTTCATCAACAGCTAATAAAATTTTAATACTAACAACACAATCACTTTGTAGGTTAACAACAGTTTGTGCTAATATGGAAACAGCCTCTGTACAATCTAACTGATAGCAGAGATGAATGAACTTCACAATTGATCTGATAGGAATACTATTACTCCCTAAAAATAAAAATATGTACATGACAATGATGATATGTATAATTGTCATCTAGAGTACATCAAACATGCATGTACAATAGTCTAACCTTGAACAGCTAAATTTAACAATGATTCACTAGTTTCTCCAATTTCCAATGCTTTTAATGATAAGTCTACTCCAGCAGTCAGTAATTCTTGATAGACATCAGTTACAGTGTCTTCATCTAACTCTGTTACAGGTTGTGGTTGCTTCTTGTCAAAAGGTCTCAAAACAGAGATAGAAAGTGTTTCTAAAATAGCCAAATAATGTGCAGAATGGCCATTAAACATTTCATCAAGAAGTTTCTCAGTTGAAGAACGCGGCCAATTTGACTAATGACAATTTATTAACAGAAGCATGTAAATGTAACTATAAAATACCTGTATTAGATCTTTAATAGTTGGACGGAACTTGGGTCTCAATACAGATTTGGTCTTTTTGTGTGTTTCTAAAACAGATCTTTTAAATACCATTATTCCAAGCTGTAAAAAAATCTGAAATAAAAAATAACACACATATTATTGTACCTTTAAAGTTGCTTCAGTAAAAATTTTATTACTACTTAGAATATTTGAATTAGTTAAAGATTCAATCTGGGCCATTTGATGAATTTTGTCTAAAGACCTACGAGCAAACAACTACATAAAAGGTAGCATTATTGCTCAAATTTTATATTATATCAACAAACTTCAGCTTCAGCAGGCTGCTGCAAAGCATAGTAGGAAGCACAAACAGAGCAGTACAATGTAGCTCTTAGTGGTAAATATTTTACTGTCAATAATGGGATACAAGACTCCATTGCAACACAACTCCACAGCAAAGGCTTCAACACCTGTTGTTTAACAATACAAATTCAACCTTATCTAAGATAAATCATATGAATTAACATACATGTTTGTGAAGGTTAACAGAAAGTAACATCCTAGCAATACAGTAACTCAAAGTTACAGCATTATAAACCAGCCAATAAAGATTCCCATATTGTAATCCAGCTTGTAAACAGTATTCCATGTTTTGAAGAATGGCAACACCCAATTCACGTGTTGCAAGGAACTATACATAATACACAATGTGAACTAATTTAAAATTTTAATGTACATGTACATGTATATACATGTAGACACAAAAAATCACACTGGAAGGATTTCAGGTATCCATTCAAAGTGCAATATAAGCACATTTACATGTACATGTACTATATAAACCATGGTTTCGAGGTGTGTATCAGTAATGTAAGACCTGAGCCCAGAGATGTCTGCCCGAGGCGAAGCCGAGGGCAGACATCGAGGGGCGAAGGTCTTACATTATTGATACTCACCGAGAAACCATGGTTCATATAATATGTGCTATATTTACTGTAAGATCTATGGGATCTACCAGGGACGGATGCGCGTTTTGCTCGTTTGCTGGGAGATCAAAGTCTTATCCCTCTCTTTTACTTCTTAACAGAACAATAAAGGCCTTCTTGGAACTTCTCCGTAGCATTTATCTCTGCACGAGCTTTATTTTTGTCAATACAGTGGCGAACGGCTGGGTCTAGCCTACTACAATGCTGCCATTTTCTGCCATGTGCTGGATACTGAGCATGCGCAGATCGCTCCTGCATCTCATTACAGATAAACTCACCCAATGAATCTCATTACAGATGTACACACTCCAATGAATCTCATTATCTTGCAGTGAATATCGTTAACTGGCAGCGGTTAGGTGTACATGGCCTATGTACCACCTGGCGGTCCCTTTGATCTTACAGTAACTATGGTACATGTAAATGTATAATAATTATGCATAGATTGTGTACTGTACAATGTACATGTGCATGTACATGCAATGGAATGATTATCTCACTTTAAATAACTCATCTGCACATATTACAGCATAATATTGACAATATCCAATACCAATGACAGCTCGTAACTAGAATAGTTTGTCAAGAAGATAAAATAATGTTTAAAAATTAAGAAACCTCACTGTTAAAGTAAGCTGACTTTCAGTTTTTGACTCATTAATTGTGAGCAATACATTGCTAGGATCTGTTACTATAGTTCTTAAATATCGCCCATAGCCATGATTAATGGCAAGATTATAAAACTTAAAGAACAAAATGCAATGAAACATTTTATCATTTTATTTACCTTCATTCTGCTCAATTCATCACCTAGCTTCAAAAGCTGATACTGATACACCGAATTGCTCAATTTTGTCTCATATTTACTTAACAAAGAAAACAATCTATTACTCCTACGTGAATGAAAAGGAAAATTATTATATACATGTACACTGTACATGCATGTACTATAGTTACCTGTACATGTGCATATACATTTACATAATATACAAGAACATGTATACACCAATACATTCATTGAACATGCATGTACATGTATATTGTACATACTGGCAGGTGTCATTACTAGTATATACTATACGTACATGTACATATACAATATCTGAAAACAATACTTATTTATACTACATTTATATGCATAGTTTTTTCATGTTGTTGTCTATCAGTAGACTAGCAATCAATGAAATAAACCAAGTTGCTTATGTGTACATGTCCATCAACATGTACTTCAAGAGATTTAATTGTGAAAGAAATCTCTGAAGGTATTTATACACAAGGCAACTTAATGCTAGCAACCAAGCAACATGCTGCCAAAAGTGGTCTATTCTTGGCCTCATGTTATTTACAAAATTACCGTAACCACAAATTTTGCTAGCAACAAGTTGCCTTGTGTATGAAGGCCTTTATTGCTAAATACATTTATATGCACATACAATGTACTACATGAAGTTGTTTCCATTCTTTTTAAAAATATTAGACTATTAGACTATGAACTACAACATGTAAGGGGCTTTACAACCAAGTTAAATAAAAGTTGTACACGACAAACAAGATGACAAAATGACACCTTGGATTGTTCTGTGTCACTCAAAACAGTATCAAGCATATTATATTCTGTTGCAAGAGAACAAGGCAACACACAATTAGGTGTGATTCTGACAAAATTATTGGTATAAATACATGCACAGTCATGTACAGTACTAATGTAAAGGATACACACACATACATGTGCATGTACATGTACAACTGCATTAGAAAATTATATAACTTTAATGGTACATGTATATACATGTGTGTACTGAATATGCATGTACACGCTGAAACACAGATATACCACCAACAAAGTTCTAATTTGTCAAATTCTGCAAATTCAACAAATTCCAAAAATTAATTCCAAAAAAAATTTATGGCAATGCCAAATCAGAGAAACTTGTGTAGTGAATACACACTAATATGCAGTACCATGGCTTGGGCAACAAGCCAAATCAAACAACGTTCCAGCAATACTAAAATAAATGGCAGTGCTACTCTTTAAAATTTTGTACAAACCTGTGTTCAACAAATTAAAATTGACAGCCAAGGTAGTCAATTGTTTGATTTTATTACTCCATAAAAGTAATTATTACATGAACATAATGTAAAAAATATACATTGCAGTCCAACTGCACCATGCTTTATACAAACGAGCTGCCTAAATAATATTTATTTAGTTATCTTACATATGTTTTTTCGATGACTTCAATATATGTTCAAGCTCTCGATGAAATGATAACAACAGCAACCCACCTCCTGAATCCTCCATTTTGTATTTCTTGCCAGTGTGTGCGTTACCATGGTAAAATCGTATATCCCGCCCAAAAATAGGTGTGGCTAATACTGTAATTAATAGCATAGATAATAGAGTAATTTTTTCATTTTTCGCCCTTTTTCTGTTGTAACAAACTCATGCTTCATGGATTCTAACTCTAACTAGTATCATTCCATATGCAAATGAATGCTCTTTCATATGATTATAAAGATCTTGTATCTTACTCTAGCTTGTTTTCAAAAAAGGGATTATAATGACAAAAAATACATTTTATGGTTTTAAAAGAGCCATAACATGAACATAGTAAAATTATCTATACAATAGAAAACAGAATTATTAAGAGGAAACATTAGGCTTCTTGATGCATTAATTCCACTTGCATAGGAACACTTGTTCGCGAGATATTGTTTCTAAGAGAAAAAAAATCAAGGGTAAATTGTGACAAAAAATTTCAACGAGCCTCTGTCAGCCTAGCAGCAATACAAATAAATGGAGGTTAGGCTACGCCCACGCTTCCGTTTCCAATCCCTTTCATTTAATATCTATGTTAATAGATAATGATCTTCCATAATGTTAGGGCTTTTACAGTAAATCATGGGGTAAATGTGCTACTACAAAATAAAGTTGTTTTACTGCAAGCATGGATATTAAACTATGCTGCAATTGTGGTCTAATGCATCATATAAAATAATCTAGGCTAGAGCAACTTTCCATTACAGTCGTGGTGGGTTAGTCTCGTCATAAGTAGATACACGGTACTACAATCAAGATTTAAAAAATAATAGAAAGCAATGTCAATAAGCAGAGGTAGTTGAATTGCATTTCTATTTAACATGGAGCTACACTGCTATAGCATACTGGTAACACAACAACATGTTCACACTTCTAAGCCAAATTACTGAAGTCTGATAAAAACAATCTACAACCTAACAAAAATTATTATCAATTCTACAACATGTAACTAAAGCAGCTAAAATTCTAATACAAAATCACTAAACTACAAAAATATTAACTGAACTGGCATTGTCATTGATCAAAGCACATTAGTTAAACAGTTTATTTCAAGAGGTCCTTAACAGCTTCCACAATGGCACGTGCAGAAATGCCATACTTGTCCATCAGAACACTGCCAGGTCCAGAACGAGCAACTTCAGGAATAGCCAAACGTCGAACAACAACTGAAGACTTTACACTAGTAAGTGCACCACAAACTGCTTCACCCAAACCACCTACACATACATTGCATGAATTAAAAATACGTTACTAATGAATGTACCTTCAGGGTAGTGATCTTCAACAGTAACAACACGTCCACCAGTTGCTGCAGCAGAATCAATCAGAAGCTGAGTATCAATGGGCTTCAATGTAAATGGATCTATGACCCTGATAGTAATGTCCTCCTTTTTAAGAGTATCATAAGCAGACAAAGCTTCAAACAGAGTCACACCAGCTCCAACAACAGTCACTTGATCTTTATCAGAGCTGCGAACAAGCTGAAATAGAAAAATTTCATATACACATATTTCTGGTAATGTATATGTAGTTTGAGAGGAAATATTATTGTGGCTTTACAACAATACCACAAATTTCTCGACTAGTAATTAATTAAAATACCATGTACTAAACCACAAATATCTCAATTATATATTTAAATAATTATAATTAAAATACCAAATAAAATTACAACCACAAAAAGTTTCGTAAAAATATCTATTAGACACAATGTATTTTGTACATGTGTATGCAACTCATGTACCACTTTACCTTTCCCTTTCCAACTTCAAATTTCTCATCATTAGAATAAATAACTGGAGTTGCTGGGCGAGTAGTACGAGTGAAAGTAATACCTTTAGAACGTGCAGCCAGCTCAATTGCTCGCTCAGTACTAACAGCATCAGAAGGATAGAAGCAAATACTTGTAGCAACTGAACGAAACATAGCAAAATCTTCCAGAGCCATCTGTGAAGGTCCATCTTCACCTAAAATAGCACAAAATAAGTACTACCATCATCTTTTTTTCTTACCAATTGAAACACCAGCATGTGAACCAACAAAGTTGCAGTTGGTCTGAGAAATCGCACCCATACGAATCTGATCAAAAGCTCGGGATAGAAAGCAAGCAAAAGTACTGCAAAATACAATATTACGATCACGACAAGCCAATCCAGTGCCAACTCCAACTAGATTTTGCTCAGCAATAAAGCACTCAACATAACGATCATTGAAAGCTTTCTTGTATGTTAGTGAAAATGTTGAGTTTTTAGTATCTCCATCTAAAGCAATCACACGGCTACAAGACTTCCCTAGTTTAACCAAAGCATCACCATAAATTTTTCGAGTAGCGTGCTACAAACATACAATAAAAGTGTGATTGAAGTGTAAAAATTCTAACCTTATCTCCAAGTTTGTAATTTGGAGGCTCAGATAGTTTGACTGCAGACAAATCAACCTTAGGAGCATCATCAACAAATGCAAGAGGCTTAATTCCATGAGGGCCATTATTTTTAATCAAAGCACGAACAGCCTCTAGTGCAGCATCAGCTTGAGGGCCCAAAGGCTTACCATGCCAATTGTCCAAATCCTCAACATTAGGAAAACCCTTTCCTAAAATATTATTGATACCATCAAAGCAATACAAAGTAGTATCTATAGGTACAAATTCTTCACACCAATCTTTATACCTTTAAAAGTCTTCAAGATTAAAGCTGTTGGCTTATCTTTAGTAGCAGCAGCAGTCTCAAAAGCTTCAATGAGTTTCTCAACATCATGGCCATCAACAATAATAGCATTGAAACCAAAGGCATCAGCTCTTTTGCGATAAGTCTCAAGATCATGTCCAAGTGATGCAGCTTCACTCTACCAATTTAACAATAATAATTTCCGAGACTAATTACTTCAACATACCTGACCAAGACGATTAACATCAATAATAGCAACAAGATTGTCCAATTTATAATAGCTTGCAAATGCAAAAGCTTCCCATACGCTACCTTCAGCACTCTCGCCATCTCCCATCAGGCAATAAACTCTGTAGCTGGCTTTATCAATGTATTTTCCACAATATGCCATGCCACAAGAAACACCAAGACCTTGACCAAGAGACCCAGTGGCAACATCAATGTAACTTTGACGCTGCAAAAATTGTAAATTGTAAAAAATTATTAATTTTTTCTTACAGGTGTTGGATGACCCTCAAGTTCAGAGTCAATTTTACGAAGGTTCTTTAATTCATCCACTGGAATAACACCAGCTTCGGCCCATGCTGCATACAAGACAGGAGCAGCATGGCCCTATTGTTAACAAAATTGAAATAATATATGGAATTTTCTTTTTACCTTAGACAAAATAAACCTATCGCTTGAAGGATGTCTTGGAAAATCGCCTACACGAAAGAAAAATAGAAGCATTACAAAATCAAAAATACGCACTTGCTTTAGTTCAAGTTGGTGTGGCCACATAATATACCGTATAGCGAGAAATTTTGGAGGGGCTAAAATTTGGCGAATTGCTAAATTTTGGTCATTGGTGGGTTTTAATTTGGCAAATTTGTGGCCATGTGCCATTGAGCATGCGTATAATGGCTCAAAATGGCGGATTTTCATTCTGGCGAACGGCTATCAAAATGCCAAATTCACCAAATTTAATCCTCTCCAAAATTTCCTGCTATATGGTAGCATAACTATTGACAAATTAGCAGGTTTTAGTTTGTTGAATTTATGCATTTATGGTCATGGCATAAGCAAAATGAATGGGACTTATTTTGGCAAAGGACTTTTGTAAATCAAATAACACACCCTCAAAATTATCAGCTACATGTACATGTACATGGTACTGCCTAAAGTAAAGAGGCATTAAAAATCAATAAAAATCAAGAAACAGCAAGATGCACAATGCATCCCATGCCCTAAGCAAATATCTGCTGCTATCAGTGACTCTGTGCTGGTAAAAACACAATAAGTACAAAAGCCACTCTATAAGAATACCACAAGTAGCATGACTACAGAATTACATTTAACTGCAATATGTGACTTACAAAAATATTACAAACAATCATATAAGGAAATAGGGTATTAACCCTACAAATGATTCCATATAATGGTGTATGAATATTTACTATCAAATTTTAATGCAAAGATAAGATAAGATAATTCATATCAGTAGTAAAGTTGAGGCTGTGAACAACACTATAACTTCACCCATGCCAATGTATCTTGTGTTATCGTGCATGGTGAATATAATCCCAGTAGTTAAAAGGACTGAAATTGCAAGTCTCAGTAAAATATTCACAACTAATATTGCTTATAATACTGCTTTCAATGCTAAACATAATCTCAAGATCAACTAGGAAACTCAAAACAGAAACAGGAAGATTGATAACTTGAAAACACCGGTCATTAATGGTGAGTCATCTAATGAGCTTCCCTTAACCAGAAACACTCTTTCATTACAACAGATGCAACATAAATAACAATAAGAACTCCTTGAACACATAAATCATTTTACAAAATTTTACAAAACCAAAACAATTGACGTGTATATGAGTTAAATATACATGTATGTAAAAATTGGACAGTCATTTCAGATACATATAGAAGATTCAATAGAGAGTATACAAAAAAAAGACTAAAAATAATTTCTTGAACTGGTATGAGTGTTTATAAACAGTCAAACAACAAGAAAAAATTGCTGACAGGTTATCCTTTAAAAAATTGGGGCAATGTGCAGCAGTCTTTGTAGATTGCTTCCACATTAACATTTTAAGCTAAACCACATGCCTTGATGTAATAAAAACCCACCATATAGATAAAAATTTGGAGGGAAAATTTTTGGCAAAATTTGGATAGCCGTTCTCCAAATTAAGCCCACAACTTTGAATAGCTTATGCACATGCACACTGGCCATGCACACAAAAGTAAAACCCACCAATCACCAAAATTTTTAGGAACTAGCCAAAATTACTTCTACAAAATTTCCAGCTAGTATAATTTAGCAAACTTAAAGTGCAGAACAAAACCACACCCTCTATTTAAATACACACATACCTGTATACTTCATCACATGAAAGAACAACACTGACATTACTTCTGCAGCTGATGCACATGACGTAGGATGACTACAGAAACATACATAGGAAGAGTCTATCACAATTTCTTTGCAAAATCAAAACATACCCAGAATTTGCAGCAGTAGTTTGCACCACACTGTGAATTCGCAGTTTATTTGCGATGTCTTTCAACTCTTGGATCTTTTCGGGAGATGCCATTATGACCAAGTTCAAATTTGATAAAAGAATAACACTCTCAACTTTGGAGCAGCCCTTATCTTCCAACAGCCCTTGTGCTAATGTGGAATTGTGGATGTGACTGTGAGACGCCCTTCCCACTCGACGTGACTGTCTATAATGCGCACGTGGCCTATACCGGATGTGGCTATTTCGTCATCTTGCATCATTATACGACTCTTTAACTTTTGTGTGTGACTTGGGCGGGGTTGATCACTGATCAGAGTTGTACTATTACCAAGAGTTATAATATTCCAGCTTCAGTAGCTTCATGAAAAAGAAGGAAGAAGTAACTGTCAGGAGGAGAAGTGACTCCATTAATTCAGAGGTGCCGGTGGAAGGAGGCTCAACTTCAAGCTCAGAACAAAATGCTAATGACAGTGAAGATGATAGTGGCATCAGTGATCAAAGTAACCCAGAAATATCTACACTAGTAATAATAAATGACCATTCTGGTACCCATACTAAATATGCAGACGAGAACCCTGGATTATTTAAGAATTTTATTCAAATATTTTTCCCTTTTTTAATTGCTGGTGCTGGTATGATGTTAGCTGGTATATTGTTGGATTATGTTCAAGTAAGTACATTATACATTGCATATTCTAATCCAAAACATTATCTATTTTAGCATTTGAAAGTATTTGTTGAAGTATCTGAATTGTTTATATTGGTTCCTGCTTTGCTTGGGCTTAAGGGAAACTTGGAAATGACATTAGCATCAAGATTATCTACATCTGTGAGTTGTTATAAAACCTAATTGTAGATATTTCAGTGGAAAAAATTATGGAGCTTTTGCACAGAAGCAATCCAGGGGTAGGGTGGAGTGTCAGCCATTTTGGGTTGTGTACTTGAATGGGAGAAAAATTTCAGATGAAAGTACATGTATGTGGTGTATAAGTGTGTTAATTATCTTGTTGATAAATAAACCCCACTTTGTTGCTATATTTCCATTCTCAAGCTACTTTCTTGCTACCCAATATAGCAGACATCAAGCTCCAATTTTGCTTAACACCTACCTATTGACAAGAGCTTTATATCAAATGATGTTGCTAAGTCAAGCAACAATTTTAAATTCTAAATGAAAAGGCTTAAGGTCTGTTCAGAATTTACATACTAAGTCGCTATAGGCAAAAGCTAGTGAGTCTCGGAGGCATTGATGATCTTTATTTTACAGAACCAGATATACATAGTGTATAGGGGTTAAATTTTACTAGAAATAAAATTTAATTTCACGAATTGTATGTTTTTATAAATTTCCAAAATTTAATTCCACAAAAGAGGTGTGGTTCACTAGAAAAAAATGCTGCAGGAGTCACAAAATTTTATATCAACAAATGGAAAATCTAAATTTTATGCCAACAAAAGAAAACCCCCTTTGCTTTTGTGTTTTACATGTACATTAGGACTAGAAATCCATTTATACACCAGGGTGTATCTTCATATAAGAACAGAATTTCTGATGTAAAGTCGCATTACCATAAGTTAATAAAGAACTTTTTTATAGTCTCAATGTGAGACACACATAAAACAATGGATAGTATTGTTTACTAATTTAGTCTTCTATGATTTAATACATGTACATGTACAATGTACATTGTAGCTTGTGAAAGAAAGACTGTTTTGATAAAAGACTGATCTCCTGAGAATAGGAAAATTTTTTAATGCCACATGGGCATTTCACATTATGCTATGTGAGTGAATGAAGATTTTCATTCATATGTTCTCTCTACAACTGTTGTTTGTATTAATTTTATGACATTATACATCTAAATGTAATGCTAGATTTAGTAGTTGGTCAAATTTTGAGTTTGGGTGCCTTGACTGCATTCCTTCCTTTTCATTTTTTGTGTAAGTAAGCAATATTAAGTAGGTAACCACAACTGTTTAAGCTTACTGCTTTGAGCATTTTACAATGAACAGCAAATCTCAAAATTAAATCCCAGAAAATATTTTCAGCTACATGTACATGTAGACAGTATCTTGCATGTAGCTGCACTTAAGGCCTTTTCACACTTGTCCACTTTAGATCCAGAATTGCAACCTACTAAAACAGAATCCTCTTTGGTTGTATTCACACTATTAGCTACTTCAATTCGAAAGAATTAAGTGAATTAAACTGCATTGGCTTAAGACCAATCCACTTCAATCCACCTCAATCCACCTCTGGATGTGGATTGACTGGATCTAGATTCAATCCTGATTCAAGGCAAGTGTGAACAAGCCAATCCTGTTTTAATCCTGGATTTTATCTCAATTCTGGATCCAAAGTGGATAAGTGTGAAAAGGCCTTTATCGTACCAACTATTTTTCAGTGGTAGAGCAAGAGGGGCAAATGCCCCCTTTTTAAAATCTAAATTTAAAAAATGATGCGGCTGCAAAAGCTGTTCTACTGCTTACATTTTTAAAAGGCTAGATTTACATGTCTTTCTGTGATGCCATATGACAAAGCTGAAAAGGTATTCAACATTGCCTATCATCATTCAAGAAGTCTGTCATGTTGAAAAATAGGTGTGGACACATCCTGAAAGGGTGAAGTTTTGTAATTTCAGGGCACACTTTGCCCGTTCCACATTCATGTAACAGTAACTTGCCCCTTATTACACATATCTTGCCTAAGCCCGTTTTTCAAATGACTCACAATAACCATCCAATGGTTAAACCAAAATACTATATCCAGGAAAATGACTATAGGATAAGGTCTGGACAGCAAGACTACCTAAATCCTCAATACCATTGTAGTTTAAAATTTTTGTTAGTCAAAACTTTTGGTTCTTGTTGAAATTAATAACTTTTGTCAACAAAATATTGATCCTTTCTGTCATAAATCTGCATGCTACCCACTTGGAGCAAAAATTTTTATCAAACAAGTGTCCGACAAATTTGATGAAATTTCATAGACAAAAAGTTAGAGCTTTACGGTAACATAATCACATATGTATGTATAATGCTAAAGGGGAAATGTTGGATTACCACATAATAATTATTTATTCCAGTAATAGTAAATCTCTGTGTAGTTATCAGTGGCCATTTCTACTGAAATTAGCATTCATGAATGCAACTTAAATATTAAAATTAATTTCCTTATAGGCAAATCTGGGAAACATGGATACCTGCAAAGATCGCTGGTTATTGACATGGGGCAACCTCTCTTTAATCCAAGGACAAGCATTAGTAGTAGCATTGGTTGCAACACTGACGTCTATAATGCTGAGTGGTATTGGTGGGCAGCACTTGTATGCAACTCACATTCTGTTGATTGGTGGCTCAAGTATGTCAGCAGCATGCTTAGCAAGTGCTATATTAAGCTCCTTGATGATCGTAATTGTTCTGTTATCACGTCCACTACAAATCGACCCTGATAATGTTGCCACGCCAATTGCTGCTAGTCTTGGTGATTTAGTGACATTATGCATACTTTCTGGCATATCATATGGTCTGTATAGAGTCAAAGGTAAATTGCTAAATGTACATGTATCATACTCTATTTTACTGTTGTTTGTAGATGAAACTGTTGTCATATCAAGCATTTTATGTGGTGTACTTCTTATTTTGATACCATTTTGGTTATGCCTGGCTTATTATAATACAACTACCCGTTCAGTATTATATAGCGGATGGATACCTGTCTTATCAGCTATGCTAATAAGCAGCATTGGAGGATTCATTCTGTCAAAAACAGTGTCTGTATTTCCTGGAATTGCTATATATTCTCCCATCATAAATGGTGATGTATCATCCATGAGGAACTTATACTTACTGTAATGTTGCATACATGTAGGTATTGGTGGTAATCTAGCAGCTGTGCAAGCTAGCCGAATATCTACACACTTACATAAGGGTTCCAATGCAAATGCAAAGTCTACAGATTATAAGTATAAGTGGAATGGCATATGTGGTACATTTTGGAAAGGTAATTAAAAATAATTATTATGATAGTGTCACAATATCTATAGGTTATCACACCAAAACAAGCATTCTTCTATTGATAATGGTTGTTCCTGGATCATCATTATTCTTGGTTCTTATTCATTACATTAAAGCTGGCCATACGACTTTATCTGCTTTGTTTTTCATTAGTTACTTAATAGTAGCTATTATGCAGGTAAAACTTAAGATCTATACATCATAATTTTAGTACACGTCTTATTTTATTATACTTTAGGTGGCTATCTTGCTCATATTCACAGATTGGATGGTACATTTCATATTCTGGAGACTGTCACTAGATCCAGATAACATAGCTATACCATTTATAACTGCTTTAGGAGATTTTCTAGGGACTGGACTATTAGCGGGGGCATTCCATATTCTTTGGTTGGTAGGAGACAGAGATTCTGATGTTGGAGACTAAATTTTACTAAACATTATCATACATCAGTCATTATTTCTGTTACATGAAACTCAGTTACAATTTTTTATTTGTGTCCTTGCCTCAAAGGACTAGGTGAAATTAAGATGACACCATCTCCCCTTATAAATATCATTGGAATAGTGCGTTGAGTGGTCTGAAGAATGAGATTTAACAGTCATAATAAGTATAAAATAATACTTACTCTGTATATTTCTTCAAAAGTTTCTTCATCTAATTCAAGTGTTGTTACTGTTTCTTCCACTTCACTCATAATCATGTTTAAATGTTGATCAAAGCCCTGCAGTGGTTTGGTAAATAAAATACAGGCAACATACTACATGTTTATCAGTTCAGCACTATGTAAAATAATGCTACAATATATCATACTCCATTCTTAGTCACAAACAATACAATTAGAAAATAAATTAATTAAACAAGCACAACACAATCTACCAACATTTTAAGTACATGTAGCTTTCAAAAAAACTTCTTCGTAGCAGTATTTCAATAGCCTAGCCCTCAAAGGTATCTTAAAGGTTTTATGGAAAATCACCTGAAAGAGGAGTATCAAAAATATATACAGTATTTAAAAGGCTTCATCTGCATTTTACTTTACTAAATAAAAAATAAAAAAACGAGTGTTTCGTACAAAGCCCTGATATTTTTACGCTAATTATGGCAACTGAAAATCTGTACCATATAGCGGGTTTCTTCCGTTTGGTCAAACTTTCGTTCTCCAAGCTCCAAAAACAAAATTGAACCCACGAAATTTGCTGTGGGAGAGCTCGATCCGGAGTTCATCTTCGTCGGGTTAACACTAACACATACACATGTGGGTGTTATGGGTGGGGTTGTTGGGTGTGGCTTAATTCTTGCAGATCAGAAGGACGAAAATAAAACCCACGAAATTGGATTTCCTCCTAGAAAATGAAAGCTTGGCCGAACGAAAGAAACCCGCTATACGGTATACGGTTAGTAGTTACAAAAATCTGAATAAATTCTGCAATTAACATTCCTGGTTAGAAAAAATAGGAAATAAAGGTATTGAGTGAGAAACTCCATAATACTCTACACCCAAATATTATATCTCGTAAATGAAAAATCCCCGTTTGTTTGTACAGTCGGTTCAGTTGAGTTTGACCAGACGTTTTCATCATCAAAACGTCACGTGTAACCCCATCCACACGCAAATAAACTGGCTAAAAACTTCATCATGGTCCTTTCTTCTTGTTGTAATTTGTTTACTACCCTATTTTGGTCACTGCTAGCCCTGCAATTGACATGAAGGATCTTGGTGCTTGCTTTGACCTGAAGAAAGAATCGAAAGATGCAAAATTTTAACAGAGTTTCTGAGTGGCACTGGTGAAGACAAATAACGAAGGTTTAGAGAGGTACAGCAGACTAAGTGAGACTTCTTTCTGGAGTGCAAAGTCTTCTTGTTGAATTATATCTTGGCCGGGAGTGCTCCTTTTGCTTTATTTGATTTTTAAATAATAAAAACATGATTATTGACACATTTAATGAGATGCAAATGATATTCACGAAGCTTCACGTCATAAAACATCATGGCAACTCTCTTTCATGTTACCAGAAGAAACTTTTGAGAACCTTCCAGAGTACCTAGAGACTCCAAAATTGCTACAGATTTTTGGAAGAACCCGTTTTACAACTACACCGAGTTTCAATTCGCTAGCATAAATAATAGAGAAGTTATAAGGGTGGGTCAGTGGTCAAACTCAACTGAAACCAACTATATGCCTCCATTAATTTTGTTCTTGCCACCAAACATGGTAGCAAAGCTACAGTCCATGTACATTGTAAAGGTCAAAAATATGGGCAACCTAACAATAGCGACAAATTCGAAATGAAAATAAATAATCCAATTTTTTAATTGACTGATTTTAGTAATTATAAATCCAATATCCCACAAGTGCAAATACTACTATCAAGCTTACATGAAGCCGTCCAGTAAGTTCTCTATCATTCCTCATTTTTACATACAGCCTTTCATCTAAACTTAATCTCACAAGATCTAGAGGCTCTTCGATGTCACCACCAACTGCATGTCCTTCGCGAACATCAGCCATTTTATTCACCGTCACGTGAGATGTGCACAATAATGCGCGCCCAATGGCATAAATGTCTAATGCGCATGCTCCGTCCTCTGACTGCACGTTGTTCACTACAAAATGAAGGCCAAGGGACAGGTATTATTGTTGTTCTTTATCAATAATGGTATTTACTAAAATTTTACCAATAGCTTAAAGAATTCAAGATTATGGGCCGAAGATTGCCCACAGAGAAGGATAAGAATCCTCAAGTGTACAGAATGCGAATATTTGCACCTGATAGTGTTGCTGCCAAATCTCGTTTCTGGTATTTCTTGAAGATGCTTAAAAAGATAAAAAAAGCTAATGGAGAAATTGTGTATTGTGGAAAGGTATTTTTGTGACAAATATCATTAATATTAAAACTTAATTAGACAGAGACAATAGGGTTGGGATTAGTTTAAAGTACCTTAGGGTACCCTTTTTTGAGGGCTGTAAATTTCGTGAATTTGCCTTGAATCTATTTTGAAGATTTAATTTTTGTGAATTTATGCCGTCTGCCATCTTGTACTGTCACAGTTTGATTTCCATGAATTTTTGAAAAATTACAAAATGCACAAAATTTGAACCCCTAAAAAGGTACCCAGATCAACTAGAATATCTGACACCGGAAATAAAATAATAAACACTAAACCCCAACCCCTTAACCCTATGGGCAGGCACTCTAACTAAGATTGACGAGAGGGTGTGGTTCCTGGTGGCATATATTCTAGTTGACCCAGGTACCCTACAGTAAATGAAGTGGGATTGTTGTTCTAGATCAACCTCACTTGGGCTTGTTACGGTTTTTGGGAAATATGCTAGGATTAAGGGGTTTAGATTTTATGTGGATTAATTTTACTTTTGGTATAGAATTTAGGAATTGATCCAGATGAGGGCAATGGGTCATGATGAATAGAACAGACATGATTCTGTTCCATTTTTTAATATCAGTTTATTTCTAATGTAATACTAATAAAAGCTGCCCCTTAAGTTTCCAGATTTTACAGAGCTGATAAGATTGCCTTTAGAGATGCTTGAGATAGCTCCTCTCTGTTATGTAGCTGTTATAGAAAACTTGACTGTTTAAACACGATCATCTTTGTCATTGAGACCACACCCTCCTAGTGCCCAGTTGCAATATTTTCTTTTTATACTTAACAACAGAAAGCATTTTCAGCCAATTTTATCATTAGACAGCATATGGAATCCATATTGCCAGCCTCAATGGGGACTGAATTTAGAGGGTCTTAAAGGGACATGTTCACGGAAACAGATGCACACGTTACTGTAGAGGAAGTAACATGAAATTGGGCGTGCAACAGATCATTAATTAATAGTTATAACACGTGTAGAGATTAGAGACAGAGCAATCAGGCGTAGAACCAGGAGTAGGCATCTGTAGAACACTTCTTTGACCAGAATGAGCTCTTTTGCTACCCCAAGATACTCTTTTAGATACTCTTTTTTACAAATAATCACTCGAGTAGCCATTTTGCCTTAATTTTTAGGGGTGCGGCTGTATGTTATGAATAGTTATCAACACTACATGTCATTATTAATGATGTCATCTTGAAAAACGGGCCAGTTTTTCAAGATGGTGTGCTTCCGTGAATGTGTCCCTTTAACTCATTCTTGCCTTAATTGCTACTACTAATGAGGAATTAGTCACACTTTAATATCTGCTTCATCCTAATGATTACTGATACACTCCTATAAGTGGGTGTAGGTGATAAAGTACTTATACACTTGTACATGTATTAATTGTTCTTATAACATGTTTTGGTGTGGAGTTGTTTGAGTTAAATTAAGTGCTACATGTACAAGTAACTTGCTTTTTTAATTATTGTTTGTGTTTAGGTACCTGACCGTCATCCAACTGTTATCAAGAATGTAGGAATATGGTTGCGTTACGACTCTCGTAGTGGAACACATAACATGTATCGTGAATATAGAGACTTGACTATTGCTGGTGCTGTAACACTTTGTTGTAAGTTATTGTAATGATTAATTCTTTTTATCTTGTTAATGTGGATAATTGCACATGCCGCATAATTAATTTTGTGCTAAGCATTATTGTAAAAATGATTCATTAAAATAATAGTTATTAATTGTTTTGGGTGTAAGAATCCTAATTGAAGTATTTTTGTTACGACCTTTTCATCAGAAGTTGTGTGTATATGTGTACCGTATTGTACCGATTAAACGCCTGGGCGTTTATTTCTTAGCAGCAAAAAAAATTGTTGAAAAAATAAAAAGTGACCTTGAGCGGGAATTGAACCCCCAACTCTGGGGCAAGTCAGACGAGGCTCTAAATATTAAGCACTTTGGAGCTATCTAAATAGTGATATGCGTATCTATAGCTAGAATTATTGTATTAATGACAGGCGTTTATTTGGACCAGGCATTTATACGGTTTACAAAATACAGTATTTGTTTATTCTAAGCATAACATATTTCAGTTGCATTGCTAACTTTTGGTGATCAAGTACTTTTATTTTTGTGTAGCCATGTGTCATTGAGTATGTGTGAAATTGGGTCTACAAAATGATTTGGTGATTCACTCAAAACAAGAAATTGCCGGGCTATATGGTAGTAGGCAACAATCTTAACCTTTTACAAAAAATACTCAAATAATTTCCTGACATTGTCATGCTTTGGTTTTGTCAATTAAAGCTATTCTTTTTATTTATGTTTCATTGTAGATCGAGATATGGCTGCTCGTCATCGAGCAAGAGCATCAAGCATTCAAATCATTAAAGTAGAGGCTATTCCAGCAAACAAGTGTCGTCGTCCTCATGTGAAACAATTTCACGTAAGTCTTTCTTGACACCAAAGTCGGCATTTTTACCAATTTATTTTAGAATTCGAAGATACGTTTTCCATTACCTCATCGTGTACGATCTGGTCATTTCAAGAAGTTGTTTGCTTACCAGAGACCAATTGCGTTCCAATAGACTTAACTGTTAATTATAATTGAAAGTAAAGTTCTATTCAACAATAATTGGTTTTGATAAAATAACAATTATAAATTTTAGTAATAATCAAACAAAAGTTGCTATTAGTTGCTACAAGCTTGCATAAGATCCTCCTTAATTAGATTGTCAACAAATTGTGCACCAGTTGTAGAACTGGAAGGATAGAGAACCACAGGGCATCCCATGGGAGCTGCTATATTCAGCCACTTGTTTTGTCCTAATCACAATTTATGAACTGAAATATAGTAATTAAACATAGAATTTGACTAACCATTGTAGGTGGTGTTAGTCCATACATGAACCCATATCGTGTCCTGTGGCAGAAAAACATTAACCGAGTTTGCACCTTTTTTATATACTGGAGCAATCAACAGCTCAGTCCCAATCATGTACTGATATCTTAGATCTTGAGCTTGTAATTCAGTGTTCCCTGGGTATACAAATGCCATATGTCGTATAACTGGCCATCCTTTATCAGTAGCTACGTCAATAAGTGATACTCGATAAAACATCCATGCCACAAAAACACGAGACATTCGGAAGAAGTGCTTCATTGTATCAGTGGATGAATAAAATTGCCAATTTTCATCAGGTAACGTTCCTTGGTGTGAGCGATAGGTAACAGTGAATGCTGAAAATTCACACCACCTCATCAGAAGTTCCTTATCTCTTATATACCTGCAGTAATAATAATTATCATTGATATGTTAATGCACTCATTTTACGTCACAAATGGAATTCGTTGATTCTTCACTTTAATAGCAGTATATCCACCAATGTCAGAGTGAGTCAATGAGAACCCCACCATGCCACTATTGATCAGTCCTATTATTGCTGACCCTAATCCATCATAGTGGTCCCAGCTGACCAATTGATCCCCAAGCCAAAAGAGTGGTGTAAGTGTAGAACTAAACATATTACCACTCCGCATGAAGTATACAATCTCTGATGCCTATAATAACCAAAGCGACATGGATGTCAAAAACAGTACCCTTCACAAATACCTGTTTTGCCGATAACAGGTTCATTTTTACAGCATCCTGAATGGCCTCAGCATTAAGTTTCCCCCAAGCAGCAGAGTAAGTATTATGAAATGCACTGGCACTTTGTCCATCAAAAAGTAATGCATCAAGTGGAAGAGATTCGCCAAAATCACACATCCATCCACTAATATTATTAGCAAGCATGTTCTAAAAGTTAACATAATTATTATACAATAATATGCATTCATTATCTTCTTACTTTAATAATCATATTCTTCAACCAGTTGTAAGCTTGTAAGTTTGTCAAATCAACAAGTGTACTATTACTGTAGCCACTCCAAACCTTTCCATTACTTTCCTTAACAAAGTAATTGTTGCTTATCCCTTCATCATAGTAATTATGTTGAAATGGAGTTCCACGATTAGTTATATTGGCCAGAAGTGGGTTTATGTATGTAGTCACACGAATTCCCATTGTTGCCAAGTTTTCAACAAAATCTTCCCAATGAGGATAGTGATTTTGATCAATCTACAGTAATAATCAAACTGTAAAGCTACAAACTTTTGAAGATTTACAACAATGTTATGAAATCAATGTATGAAAATTACAGCAAAAAGGGGGTCAAAGATATTAATAAAATGCTACAGACATGTATATTTCAAAAACTATGGAACAACTAAAAAAGTGCTGCATAATTTAGCAAATAATGCAGTTGTGTCATACCTCCCAATTCCACCATACACCAGTACGAGGCAGGTCATTCTTGCCACTGATATTTCTTTGTCCTGACCAATCCTGCAGCCACACTCCAACAACATCTTTCAGTGTGCCCATAGTTTTATTAACAGACATGAGTATATCCATTACAATTTTAGGTCCACCTTGCAAACCCAAAATAGCACCACTATGGAACCATGTAGGCAATGGTTTCATCCTTCCAGTGTATGATGTATAAGATTGCAGTATATGAAGTGGAGAGTCACCTAAGATGTGTGTCAGAGATATTATTCAATGTTAATTAAAACCAAACCTGTAATTATCCTCCCACGTATATTTGTTGCATTTATTTCAATGGTGACTGATGTTCCAAATACAGGGACATAAAAAGTGGCATATTCAAAAGACTCGATCACAAGAGAGCGATTAAGACTTGTCACATAGAAAGGAACACGCGAGTAAGTTGTGAAGTGATTTCCTCCTATATAAACACCAAGTAAGCCTATTGTAAAAATTAATCAATAATATCATATTTACCTGCACCAGCTGAAATTAAGTTTAAAATAGCAGTTAAAGGTTCAACACCACGACCTACTCCTTGCTCAGAAATGAATAGAGGAACACGGTGTCCTCTCATTTTTAAGTATGTATACTGCACACCAAGACCATAAAACTGCTCGTTCTCGTCACAGCCATACACCAACTTAAGTCTATTGTAGTAATTTGTATTAACGGTTACATTAAAAATTAAATGCATATAATTTTCAATTGTGGCTACAGACTGAAATGTTAATGTAAAGGTGTCATTATTACAAAGATCACCAGAAAGAACAACTATTGGCATTCCACCTGTTTTTACTACATTTAATGACTTGAATGTTGCTTTGCTACATTCATCAATAACTGTATCATCAAAATTATAGTCACCTCCACTTTGTACAACGACTTCCTTTTCTTTGACTACAGTTATAATACTATCATCTGGGCTAGGAGATGAGAACCATACTAATTTATTTTGACGAAGGACCTTGACAGAAGGATACGAATTGGCATCCCAAGCAACTAAATATGGGCCTGTGGTGCCTGATGATACGGATGCACTGTTAGTTCCACAAAGAATCGAGAAAATAATGGAGCTCAAGCAAAGAGCATACATCATCATTCATCAAAATGCATGATCCTTGCAAAGGGGTGTAACGCTAACCCGCCCACGTGGCCGCCCATTTTACCAAAATGGCAAATGCATCATGAAAAGAAGGCGGCAAAGTAGTGTGGAGTCAGAGGATCAGCAACCGGGTGTCTTAAAGAAACAGAAAAGAAGAAAAGAGTCTCTTATTTCAGATCCATGGGGTGTACCACCTGAATTATACAGTAAAGTGAGTCAAGTGTTTTGTGTGTTGTTTACATGCATGCATGCATATGTACCATTTTGACTCCTCCTCCTCTACAGACTGAACTCTGCAGCAAGTTGTATGATGCTCTTCGCTCTTTCAAAGGACCAGATAATCAACCGTTGTGTGACTTTGTTGTTCGATTGCCTAATCGTCGGTCAATTCCTGAGTATTACAAAGTTGTCACATACCCAATAGATCTACTCAAAATTCAAGTGAGATGAGCAATTACCATATAGTGGGAAATTTTGGACTGAATTAAGTTGGGTGTTTTGATAGCCATTTTCCAAAATAAAATCCACCATTTTCAGCAATTATACATGTACATGCTCAATGGCACATGGCCATTAATTAAATTTTGCCAGTCTGCAAAATTTAGCGATTTGCCAAATTTAACTCTCTCCAAAATTTCCCGCTACATGGTATTATAGAGCATTTGTGCTGATGTCACGTTTTGATGCCATAATTTCTTTCATATAATGAATTTTTCTTTTACAGCAGTAAAGTTGCTTCTCTATAACATTTTTTGTACAGCTCATGGCAGAAAAGGAGTATAATTTTAGCATTAATAAGCAGAAAAGAAGTTTTGTAGCAATAGTTATAGGAGTAACAAGACACAGCTGTGTTTGGTTTGACTGCTTAAGTAGATTTCTATAAAGCTAAATTTTTGGAGTTGTTGTTTTCTTTGTATTGTTCAATTCAGCTTCAAACTGGTTACCGTATGGCGGGTAAATTTGGAGGGGCTAAATTTTGGTGATTGGCGGATTTCTAATTTGGTGAATTTGTGGCCACGTGCCATTGAGCATGCGTATAATGGCTCAAAATGGCAGATTTTTATTTTGGCGAATGGCTATCAAAACGCCAAATTTGCCAAATTTAATCCCCTCCAAAATTACCCACTATACGGTAATTTACGTTAGAATTGCTAGTGAAGAAAAACCTTAAATTTTGCTGATTTGGGAAAGAGAAAGGCTGTCATTTCTTGACCATGCACTGCATGGCACTATAAAATCATTATAGGCATGCCAGCATGTATATGCATCTACCACCCAGACTGGCAGTGCCTTTGATCTTACAATAACTGTATAATGCATGTCATGATGCATCATGCATTTAATATTTCTTATTTTAAATAGCAAAAATTGAAAACTGATGAATATGACACTGTTCCACTTTTTATTTCTGATATTCAACTTCTCATTGAAAATGCAAAGCTCTTTTATACGGTAAAGTTTCACTGAATTTAATTTTAAAATGTAAAATTGACTTTAGCCCTCTTCTGCTGAGTACAAGAGAGCTTGCTCTTTAGAGAAAGAGTTCCTGAAGGCATTGCAAGATATATCTGTTTATGAAAGTAGTGCAGTTGCTTGTATGTATAATTTTAATTAATTTACATGTAGGTGATATAACTTCACCATTATCTCCTAAAACAGTCTCTCTGAAGCTGTCATCTTTAGGCAAGACTCCTCCTGCATCTTCTGCATGTAAATCTAGTTCTGCAAAGCCTTCATCTGGCTCTGCTCCAACCAGTAGCAAACGATTAAGTAATGCTGGAAAAACAACTCGTTCAAAGGCGTGGCTTGATGATTATTTATCTTCAGATGATCCTATTAAAATATACTTTGCAGATATTTATAGTTATCATGATAGTAATGGTGATTATATTTCCCAGCCTTTCATAGATCTTCCATCTGCAAAGGTAGTGTACATGTGTAATGTTTATCTGCCTAATGTCAGTAATAAAAGTAAAATATTAATAAAGACACTTACATGTACATTGAATGTCTATTTGATATTTGATCATGAGCATTTCAAAATTGATATTTTTATTAGGAGTATCCTGAATATTATCGCATCATTACTGAACCTATTGGGCTAGCTATGATTAAAAGCAATATTGAGTCTGGCCATTATAGGAATTTAAAAGAGATACAAGAAGATTTGCTTCTTATGATAAAGAATGCACAATATTTTAATGAGCCTCTCTCTGACATTCATAAAGTAATGTGTATAAAGTTGTGTATTAGTACATGATGATTAATTTTAAGATGGCTACCACACTTCGTAAAGTTATAATTAATCGTTGTATAGAACTAGAAAGGAAGTATAAAACTGTGGAAAGAACAACAAAGTCTGCATGTTCATTTTGTGTTAACAAACGTGTAATTTTGTTGTTTTTTTGTAGATTACAATCACCTAAAATTATAAAATCAATGGATGATAGTGAAAGGTAACTTTTTCTTTGTCAGGTTTGCATTATTAGTACAACTAGTGAGGACTCCAGTTGCAGTGACAGTGATGCTCCAGAAAGTGAAGATTCAAAGAAGAGACTTTTGCTACACATTAAAAGAGATTCCCTCCAGTTGTCAGAGGATCCTTTTTCTAAAATACTTAAGGTACAATGGATGATCATGGAATTTAACATTGTAGCCTTGTAGTAATGTACTCTACATCCATATTAACTATCAAACAATCCATGAACTGAAAATCTTAGACTATATGATTTTAAGTCTTTGCTATTAACAATAAATGGGCAATATTTGCATGTTGTGTCATTCATTTGTGTGTTAAATTATTTTGCGATTTTAACTGTTCCATTTTATCCCGCTGCAGCTCCCTTTGAAGCTTATCTTAAACATTCATTGCATTTAAATTTTTAGCATTTACTTATACTTATAACTTCTGTTCTGCATTATTATTTCTATAAATTATATTATTTATATTGAAACAATTTTGTAATCAGTTCTCTTACTTTAGTCAAAATCTCCTCCTTCATTGAAGAAAGTTTTACTTGCCCTTTATCGGAAAATAACTCGAGCTACAGATAAAGAAGGACGCGTTATGTCTGAGTTATTCATGAAGCGTCCATCAGCAAAGCTCTATCCAGAATATTACATTGTAATCAAGACACCAATTGATTTCAAAGAAATTTATCGAAAAATAAAGAAAGATATTGTAATTTATACTGTCCATGTACAACGTAGTAAGATTTTTTGTACTTTTTCCTAGTATAAGACATTCTCTGAAATGATGGATGATGTTGACCTACTGGTTAACAATGCTATCACATTTAATGAAGAATATTCACAGATCCATACAGTAAGTTGAATTAACATGCCAGTTTTGTAATTTTTTTGCATGCTGTAAGATATTTCGTAAGTTCTACAAGATATTTTCTACAATCGAATTATTCAGTCATGTTTCATGTATCATTAGCAAATAAGAATACCTTTTATTCAACATTTTGTCCTAAACATGAGTGAGCATGTTTCAAATCGTGTCAGATTTTAGATGCTTTTTACACTTGTTTACATGTACTTTAACAGGCACAAAACAAAGATATGTAAAAAAATGCATAATTCCTCATGTAATATGAGGAGCCTTGTATGTTTCTTTCCATAGTGGTACCATATACATTCTGTACGTAGATACTTATACATGCTCTTTTCATAGGATGCTTTAGCTTTAAAGGCAATTGCAAAAACTGCTGCTGACCAGCTTCAAGCTAATTGGCCACTTCACTTTGCTACTGGTGATAAAAAAGTAGAAGCAGGTCTAACTAATAGGGTTGGAACATTGTTTGCTGTTGTGAAGAATTGTATTGTAAGTTTAGCTTAAAATTCTGCTTCACCTGTTGTTCATTGTGTCCATGCAGGACAGTACTGGACGGAAGTTATGGTTATCATTGAAGGATCCGCCTCAATTTTCTGTGAGCATTAATGCCTTTATTTAAGTAATTATCTGTCCACTTAGAAAGGTGAAGGAGAAGGACACAGTGGCAGTAGGAAAGTAATTGGTCTTGGCACAGTGTCTGAAAGAGTTGACAACAACAGTGTATGTAATTTAGTTGTTTATATTTTGTGATTATTTTTTATTAGTATGGATCAGTTCATGAAGTATTTGGTGATCTTTGTTTGGTTTATGATAGTTATTGTGAGTCAGTTCCATCTCATAGTACTTTATTCAAAGTAAAGTGCATGTACATGTAAAAACTATTCTTTATTGACAGTTTTTGGCCGCACTTAAGATTTTTGATTTTAACATGCATTTACATTTATACTTTTATGTAATTGGCTGTTTTATGTTGGTTTTATTGCATGTCAGCATAGAATCACCAAAATGTACAAGCCACCACTGTGCATCATTATGATTACAGTGTCTATCATTAGGATGCATTATCTTTACATCGTATAACTGTTACCAAGTACAATGAACTGACTGATGAACAACGGAATAAGTATCAGTATCCAAATGCTCCGGAACTGTTAAAGAAACTGCTGAAAGATCTAATGGCAGCTTTAATGGAAGCTCAAGATACTGAAGGACATACTATATCTGAAGTACTTCAGAGTGTAACAGCTACTCTAGATTACAGCGATGAGTAAGATTATTGTTTAAACATTCAAGTTATCACGTTATATGCTAAGATAAGATACATTATTTCAAGAGTATATTCATTATTGGTACGTACATGTACAGGTGTATGCACATGCATGTACAGTAAATGTAATGATATGAGAGCAGTTTGTTTATACCAGTGTTAGTATATGTGTATGCAGCTTCAATTTTTATTGCCTTTGTCTTTTACTTTGTTTTTAAACTGCTCCATTTTACATATAATTTGTTGAATAAACTTATTTTTACTGATCTCTTTAGTGGCAAGTCGAAGCGCATATTATCACTTGAGAAAGTGAATCATTGGATATCACTAGGACGCTATACGCGTCTTGACCAACTTCAGAAAGATTTGTTGTTGCTTTTTCAACAAGCACGTCAGATAGAAGCTGAAATGGACAATGAAGTAGATAAAATTATCATTTCATTAGAGAAAGAGTATGTCAAAACTCGAGACAGAATCTGTAGCTCATTCTTATGGAGTCCAGCATATGAAGAAAGAACTATAAAGTTTTTTTTTTTTTTTATGATTTAGCCTATAGAATTTTATAGGCATATTGATGATGAGGAACAGGAAGAAGATTGTAGATATGACTGCAAGCAAGACGATCAAATGGATTCTAGTGCTCAAACTACTGTTTGTTCTAATTATTACATTTCATATATGCATGTACATGTACATGTATACTATTCTTACCATAGTTGATTCCTCCTCTAAATGAGCGCACTATACAAAAGTTTCTCTTGTTGGGTGAAATTACATATTTTCCTGGAGACTTTGTTTACCTTCCTCCTCGGTAATAGCACACACAGTGACACTAACACTGCTCACCTACTTTACATGTATTTTGTCATCATAGGGAACAGCATTTACCCCCACAGATTGCATTAATTGAATCCTTATGGACTGATAGTCAAGGAATTCCAGTATGACATTTGTTTGTATGATACACATGCATCAATAATTCCATTTGTAGTGGTTTGATGGTTGTTGGTTTTTTCGACCTCATGAAACTTATCACATTGCATCTCGTAAATTTTTCAAGCAAGAGGTTTTTAAAAGTGACTTTTATAGTTCTGGACTGTTGAGCTCAGTTATGGGTAAATGCTATGTCCTTTTTGTCAAGGAATATGTAAAGTTTTTTCCACAAGTTAGTATCAATGTGTGTTTGTGTTGATGGTGTTTGCCCCCACAGGGATTTTCTGAGGAAGATGTGTATGTTTGTGAATCACGATATATGCACAAAGCTAAAAGTATCAAAAGGATCAAAGTATAGTCGTTATTTTGTTGTTTATTAATGCAAATGTGATATAGTTTTGGAATGTACAAGAAAATTCTTATATTAAACTGCTACCACGATCATCACAATGTTCACTGATCAAAGTACCATCAGTTTTTGCAAGTGATGGAGAGAGGTTAGTCATTGTTTTGTTGCATGTAGTGCACTAGGAAGGGATCACTTAAGAAAATATGGAAATCTGATAAACTTAATAAATGAAGATGGATAGTATTTTTAATCTATTTTGTACATACAATATGCATGTACAATGTTACATGCATGATTAAACTTTGTCTTTTTTTAATTTTGGGCCCAATTCTTGTTGGTAGATTATTTGCTGGTAGAAATTGTCTTCCAGTCCTTACAGGTCTGACCCTTTATCCTAGTTCACTATAAAAAGCAAAATGAATGTCAAATAAAAAAAGAAATACACTGTATAAGTTTGTATTATCCATGTAGTTTATTAGAAAACTATTTTAATTCTACTTAACTGGGTTATTGTGGATACTGCGCATTATAGATTCAAGTTTGACTGATTCTATGAAAGTTATGAGCACCTTATTCATGTTTTAAATGTGACTTATTGCAATTGGCAATATTGAAAAAAAGGGATATTATTGGTTATCATGATTATTGTAAATGTAATCATTGATTACAATTACTTGAACATAAGAACAAAATTGATTTTCTTGTAATGTTACATTGTACTTTAACAACAATTATTTGATGATTAGAAAAGGCTGATCTCATTGAAGCCCATCACATAACAATTTTGTTCCTAGAACACAGTATTGAGGCAGAGTTTTAAATTTTGGCAAATTTGGCGAATTGAGATTTGTTTCCTTTCCAGTTTAATCAGGCTCTGTAACAGCATGTACATGGTTAAAATTTTGCCCCAGTTTTACCTCCAAACCTGTTTCAGATTCAGTTTGCCAAATTTTTCAGTTCAAATTTTCTAGCTATAATTATACTGTATTGCCATAACTAATCATAATAATTAGTTTAAAATAATTCCTAAAGTTGTTTTCACTATCTTCCAAGCATACATGTAGCTAGGCTCTAATTAAGACTTTAGAGTATTGAAACTCTACATGTACCTTATATCACTTCTAGGAAAGTCTTTTGACAGTATTTTCTGTTAAAAGCTCTAAACTTTGTCCTATTTAAAGCTGCGATTTTGTTTGATGTAGCCACTACCACTTTACATAAACGGTTGGGGCTGGTTGGTTGCTAAAACGTCCTCATTGTTATTCATTAAATACAAAATTTACGGAATTTAAGTGTGACATGGTGAAAACAATCTTTGGAATGTTTGCCTCCTGTGTGTAAAAATTTGTAATGATGCAATTATCATTAAGAAATACCATGATACCAGTATGTGTATTGGTTATCACTAGGTGTGATAATTGTTTAAAAAATTGTTATTACTTGTATTTTTTTACTAGTTTATTAAAGCAAAGTGACAAGGATAAGGTGCAGAGCCATGCCGATGAAACACTTGATGAGACTAAGGGTAGTGCTAGTATGGAGGGTGACAGTGAAGCTAATTCTAGTGGAGATTCTCTTGAAACTTCATTTTTTCGAGAACTAAAGGTTAGCCAATACAGTATCTCATTAAAAGGATTTTGTTTGCAGGATGTTAAAGCTTCTGTCACTAATCCGGAAGAAAACTGTACCTATTATGAACAGTATTGCATTGACGAAAAAGTATTTAAACTCGGTCAGTTTAGATATGTCTTTATAATGAAGTACATTGTTGATTGTAGGTGACTTTGTATATGTTCGTTCTGACCAAGATTTACCATTTATTGCTCGTATTGATCAAATGTGGACTGATTCAAAGTCAGAATGTATTTACACTACAATTTTATTATTTTGATTATCATTAGTGATGACCCATGGTTTCGTGGGCCTTGGTTTTTAAGAGTGGAAGAAGTACAGCACTTACCTTCCCGCATGTTTTATGAAAGAGAGCTCTTTATGAGTAATATACAGGATTCTAACCCAATGAGAAGTATTATAAGGAAATGTGGTGTCTTGTATCCTAGTGACTACACCAAATGTAAGTTGAGCTTTATTTTATATTTTTAATTCCTTATGAAGGGAGGCCAGCTGAGATTCCTGAAGCTGATGTTTACATTTGTGAATCAAGGTATAATGAAGAAGAGAAGCTAGTGAAAAAAATGAGAATGCTTAAAGTGAGATAATAATTGTAACGTTGTTTCTAATATTCTTGTAGCATTTTGATCTTAGCAGTTCAGTATTACATGATGAAAAATACTATCTTTCAGAAGATGTGTTTCTTTGGAAGGTAAATTGTATTTCTTGTAATTACTTTGTATAATATGCCCTGTAGTGTCATTCTCCAAAGTTGTATCCTACGATTCCTGCTGTCATTCCTGTTGCTACTCCTCCTGCTCCTCCTCCTCCTGCTCCTACTCCTCCAGTTAGTTCAACACCACCTGTTGTACCAATCCCTCAGATTAAAACTCCTGTTATTGCCGTCCCTACACCTGGTGGTCATGTAACACTTTCTTTGCAGCAACTGCAATCACTTCTTGCAGTTAATCAGGCAAAAGCTTTGCATCAGCAACCAGCAACAACTACTCTAGCTTATCCATGCATGTGGAATGGCTGTCAAGAATCATTTGATGACACTGCTGAACTTGGTTCACATATCATTCGATCTAACCACATCTCTCCTGAACCTGATGGAAATTACTACTGCTATTGGTCTAATTGCCCTCGAAACAAATCCCAAGCTAAACCTTTTGATTCACTGCAAAAGATTACTCGTCATGTCAAAGAAGTGCATTTGTTGCGAATTCACACACAACAAGCCCCTGTGTTAAAGTCTCTCCCACGATCTACTATTTCTACTCCATTACTAAAAGATTCTGTTACTACAAGCACGCAAGCATTGCAACCATCAATACCTATTACACCAGTTAATGTAACTCCAATTAATGCTGCCACTCAAATTACTCCTTTTCATGAGTCTGTTAGCTCTACTCCTCAGAATAACATCATTACAACACCTGTTCCTGTTACTCCTACTCTCATGATCACTCCTCAGCAAACCACTACCGTTACAAGCACTGGCACTACTGATGCTGTTGTTCAAGCTGACCCACAGAGTGACTCACCTCCCTCTATATTTGTGGCACCACCCACCAAAAAGAAGCCGATATATCATTCTAAACTGTATCTTAAGTAAGTACACGTGTCTGTAATCATTACACATACATTGTATTACCATTTTATTCACTTTTATGCAGTCACATTGAACGCATGAGAAATAATGAAAGCACTATCAGTCCTATGCCTCCAGCAAGACCACTTCCATTATCAACTAGTCAAGAAATAATATCCCAATGGATTGATCCAAGTGCCATACCACAAGGATTAACACCAACTGAAGCATTGCACAAACTGTATTATCATATGATTAGTGACTCTATAAACATCAATAATTGGCTTGACAATGTTCAATAAAGCAGTTATTGTTCTGACATTGATGCTATAACTTCAATTTCTTTATTAGAGAGTTTCCTTTGAAGTTCAATTATCTTTGCCTGTGTGTTTGCTAGTTCAACAGCGATCTCGATGCCTATTATAATAATAAAAGTATTGTATAATAGGAAATGTGAATGATGAATTATATGGGTGATTGGTGGTTTTAATAACTGCCCAAGGTGCATTATGTACATTTAGTACATTGACATTTAATGTAATTCTTGGTCCCAAATTACAGTTTTTTTGTCTGGAGTGAGTGAATTATTAGTAGTGTAGATAATCCATTACTTTTTTTGAAGTGTTGCTGGGACATTCTCAATGATTGTGGTGGTAAACCAGAGAACCAACACAAAGGGTCTGCTTTTCCTAATCGATTTTCAGTCTTTTCTTTTTTACTACTTCCTCTACGCTTTCTCACATCTAACTCATCATTGTTTTCACAATCTTCAGTCATGGGGGCTATATGCAACTGGCCATCATCACTTACATCCAAGCCCACTACAGGAGCCATATTGTTTGGATATTGCAAAGACCCAACTGCTGATACACCCAAGTTATACCTTGCCTTTGATAGTTGAATATAACCCTTTGAAGTATAAAATAATAATTTAGCAACAAAAAAATACTTACTTCACTCACTAACTGGTCATACTGCTTTCTTAAATCTCCAAGCATTGAAAGACATGTAAATAATTCACATAAAATGGCATCCTTTTCTTCATCAGCCATTTTTGGTAGGTGGAGTTTAGAAAAGAATAGTCCCTCCCTCCCTGCTTATATCCAGAAGACCACAATGGATTGTCTCCTCTACCTTTTCAGATGAATCATGTGAAGAACCACTGTAGGAGATATGGATCTGAACAAGGAGACACTACATAAATTAGGTATTAGCTCTAGGTTATTCTGTCCTAAGTTTGATCTTTTAGATTTGTCCCGATTGAGTGCCATTGTCTTTCAGTTGCAATCAGATATTGGTAAAGCTTCGAGGCAGTTAGTTCATTGTTTAGTGGAAAAAGATGAAAAATTAAGATTACTGGCTGAGAAAGAGGATCGTGTTACTTTGTTGTTAATAAATTATGCATCTCAAAATGGTAAATATAATTATGACAATTTTTGTAGCCAAAAAATAATGTTAGGCAAAAAATGTTTTAAAAAAATAATTTGATTTTGTGTATGGAATGAATTGCGCAGTCTCACCCTACCCCTTTGAAACTATGAGTTGGGTTGAGTTTCACAGTACTATCAAGGTCTTTCTTTTTTACATAAAATGTGCCCTCTCTTTGTTTTAAATTGAAGAAGCTAGTTAAAATTAGGGGCTAACTGTGTTGACATTTGAATCTTCTCTTGTGTTTCAGAACATTTGAATGCTCAAGTTTTAAAATCAAATGCAATTTTCAGAAGGCCTGTTGCCTTGTTACAAATTTTGATACAATTATTTATCTTATTTTAGCCAATAGTACACTTGCTCTAGCAGCACTACTAACATTTGGCAATATATTTAAATATTTCAATCAAACAGTTTGTATGAACCAAATGATTCAAACATTTTGTTCGTTTTAGTAATAGAATGTTCAAAAGTAAATTTTTTGTCCCATTTCTAGTTAAGATTGCATACATCATATCACATTAGCTTAATGTACTACAGATATAGAATGCGAGTAAGACACTGTACAGATCTAGTGTGAGCCTACACCTTTTCTCTCACATTGGGATGGTTCTGGCTATACAGTTAATTTATTTGATTTACTTTTTGCAAGACAAAATTACTGGCTTGATAAAATGTATAATTTTGTGTGTGGTTGGTAGAAACTTAATTTTTTAGATTTATTCCATCACTAGCTGCATTAATTATCGTATAGATGGAAAATTTTGTGGGAATTTAATTTTGCGCTTTGTGTTTTAAAAATAAACGCATAATTAAAAATCGTAAAATTAAAATCACGTGGGCTCGATGGGCGTGTATCATTAGCATCGTGTGTACGTGTGTGGGTGTGGTCAAGACAACGTGGCCAAATCGCATAATTTTAATTCGCAAAATTAAAAAACATTCAAAATTTATTGAAAACGCAAAATTAAATTGCTGCAAAATTTTCCGTCTATACGGTATTCCACTTTCAATATACATGTAGGCCTTGATACAAACTTAAATTTTAAAATATCTGCTCCTAGTAGCTTCAGTGAATCTGCTTACAAAAAGGTTAGTATTTAGTCATTAATTGGTAATGATTCCTTTTGTGGTAGTGGCTACAAGCATGGGCTGTTGTATCGAGAATAAAGCGTGGCATACCAAAACCTTTTAGGAAGAGAGTGAGTGATTGATAACAATGAACAACCATAACATTTATTTATGGTTAGGTTTGGAATGTTATCACAACCCATAGCATTCGGTCACTAAATATAAACTTTGCGGTATTGTTTAGGGAGGATAGAAGTGCTAAAGACCAGGAGTGGTTGAGGCTTATCAACAAGGTGAGAGATAAATAATAATTATTGCTACAAAATGCATTACCTGGAGAGCATTATTTTTGTGCACAATTAGAATTTTATCACAAACAATAGGTATCTTCGTCTAAATTGAAATCAAAGTATGTTACATGCAAATCAGTGGAACGTATATTGCTTGCTTATTCTCGTCATAACCTTTCTGCTGAATTTACCTCTGAGCTATTCATATTGTCTTCTCTGATACTCAAGATCACCCAAGGAAATGAGTTAATTGCTGTAAAGGTACAGTAATAATTATGAATATCTTCCTACTGAAATGCACCATCATATAATTTACAGGTATTAATATGTCTGATGGACATTATGTTACCTCCAGCATATTTCACACAAGAACTACGTACTTTACATGTTGAGTTAGTGGTATTAAATGACTTGCTTTCATACTTCTTTCCAAAGTTGTCTTCTCATTTACATCAGCTTCAGTATGTACACATGGATTGTACTTTAATAGCTATAGTATATGATTATTTTTAGGGCTGCTAATTCTTCCCGTGTGTGTAAATCATATTCATCAAGCCATCCTCCAACTTTTAAAGACTCATTAGCATTTGAACCACCATTAACCAATATCTTTGTATTACGATGGTTTCTCAATATGTTTACAAACACTCTGTCATGGAAAGTAAAGATCTTTTTACAATTTTAATCACTGTAACCTATTTTTCAAGGCTTTGCGTCGCCTTTTTGATGCTGTTATTGTTTGTGGAGCAGATATGTTCCTTTATGCTGCAGTTTCAATATGGGGTGCTTTTGAAAAGTATCACAAAATTAAGTTTAATTATTATTGATTTCTTATTAGAGAGCTATTGGCAGTAGATAATGTGTCTGACTATTATGAAAAGGTGGAAGAACTAGAAGATAGATTAAAGAATACAAAATTATTGTCTTCTACAGAATTCATTCAGGTAAGTGGTCATTGACTGTTATTTATCATACAACTTGACAGTTTACTCTTTAATTTTATAGATGGTTTATTGTGCACATGAAATAGCTCAAAGTAATCCTGAAATACCATCTATCGATGAACTAAGACACAAAAACACTCCCTTGTCTCCTCAGCCTGTAGCTGTGCAGAAGATATCTTGTCCTTCACCCTCTCAAGATGAACTGATTCAGTTAGATAGCACTAAAGTGACTAAAACATTAGAACTCAATATTGTGACATCTCCTTCTCAAGCAGTAATAGCTGCCAAAGCAGAATGTCCACAGACTATTAAAAAGACTTATTTATATGCAAATGCTTATGCTGCAGACATACCAAATGATGTACTAGCACTGTATTCTTTAAACATTTCTGAGCCACACTTTAATATGCTCAGAGAAGGAACATTATATACTATTGATATGTAAATAATTATTTTACAATTTTTACACTTGAAAAGCAAATTTAAGTCCAACAATAATACGATCACGCCAGACATTCTCGGCATGAGTAACATTCAATGACACTTTATCTTTACATTGATCATAATAATACATTAAATTCTGTATCCCATTTTCTTTTTCAGACTCTTTAAACAATTCAGACATTTCACGAATAAGCTCTTTGTTGTCACCTTCACCATCTCCTGAATCAATGTACAATTTGCATTTACTATGATGCTTCTTCTTAAATGCAGTGAAAGCACTTTCATTCTTACTGTCAATGAACCAGAAAGCAGGTGAAATGCACACCGCACAAGAAAAAGTATCTGGAAAAGAAAGTTGTAGTAAAAAAGCCAAGAGACCACCAAGTGAGGCACCAAGTATGTAGGTATGGGAGGAATCTGATAATGTCCTGTAATTATCATCAATTTTAGGCTTTATAACTTGCAAAAGATACTGCACAAATGGTTCATCTTCAAGTGCAAAAAAATCTCGTGCAGTGTACTCCCTTTGTCTGTTCCCGATGCATAAATAATCTGAATTAGGAATAGCAACTAGTATAAATTCAGGAAGAACTTCATTGGACCACCAATCATCTAGCTTTTGATCTAAATACCACCCACCAAATGGTAATCCATCGTTAGTAGAAAACAGATTCTGCCCATCAAGTGCGTACAATACTGGATACCTTTTGGAAGGTGTACTGTAGTACGAATAAGGCAAATAAACAAATAATGGCCTTTGAAGGATGCCAAAACTAGCTATGTCAGAAGGCAAAGGAAACCATTCACTAATTAGCTCCCTACCGCACCAATCAGGGCGACCATATGAGCGTTCCAGTATTCCAATGTTATTTCTCATACCATAAACATTTGGATCCATATGGACAAACATGATAGAATTTCCGAAAGGGCCACTAACGTGCGGGTTGGCTTCATCTCTTTCATATATCCCATCTACAAAAAATTTGTAGTGATAATATCCCTCACTTAATAACAGGACAAGGCGATAGCAGCCATCTTTAAATTGCATACGATGCTTTTCAGTTGATTTCCAGCCATTAAAATCACCATGAAGAAAAACTTCCTTTTTTGCATACGATTCACAAATGAATTGCACAGGAAACCAAAACTCATCCTTGAAACTCCACTCATTTCTCGATTCACTTGCTTCCATCTTAGCTTAGCCAGATTCAGCCCTACCCCTAAGCAGGTGTGGCTAGGCTGTTTTTTATTATTAATGAGCCCGCCCACGCTAGTTTATTTTGAACTTTTGGAACCCTTTGAGCGCACATTTAAGACCACTCCACCACACTTTTTACATGCTACTAAACATTTTAAGAAATTAAAACTTGATTCTGATATTGCAGTGCTCGATGTTTAAAGATTCCTTAGTTTTATGATTTGGAGCCTTTTGGGACTCTAATGGAAACACTAATGCTATTAGGCTTGCATGTTATTATTTCTAAGATATTTTTGTGCCACTAAACTATTATAATTGTTGTGTCTTTTACTTAGTGATGGGTATAGGCTTAACTTGAGCATGCCAAAAACTATTAGAAGTTAAAATAGAAGAGAAGCAATAATCTTAGTGTCAATACCTTTACACCTTCTAATTCCAAGTTATAATCAGTCCCTTACTCCTTCACTTCCACTATCAAAACATGATGATACACAGCCTATCATTCAGACTAAACCACTGCCTGCAGAAAACTTAGCACGTTACTAAATGCCAGGAGTTTATACTCTAACCTCACTGGAATGGTGCCTAGTAATTGGACGACTTCATTCTTAATTTCAAGTTCTCATTCATCTTTTCATCAACAAAACTACACACTAAAAATTCAAAGCTGCATAAAATTAATGGAAGTGCACCCTATAGAGAGTGTTCGAATTGAGACTATACATTACTGTAACAATATTGCATTTATTACATGTAGAAATGAAGGCATGCAGTTTACCTAGTGGATATTGGTCAACAGAAGTATATTCAATATCTTGAATCTGTCTACAGATTAATAAATAAAATAAAATGAGTACCGGTATTATAAATATATAAGTAAATAAATAAATAAGGTCTTACTAGTAATGTGACTGTGCAAAATGTGTTAGATGATCACTGTAGCAGTTTATTATATGCATGCTGTAGTACAAATTGGTACCAATTAATGTAAGTGATGTGGATATTGTCAATGTAACTTACACATGTACCAGGTAACTTATAGTAATGATAGTATAACATCGGTATAGTAGCAATAGTATCTTTAAAAACTTTAAGTTAAAGTCTAGGATTAGCAATTGTGTGAATATTTTAATTACAATTGTGTACATGCACCAATACTATTACTGTTAAGAATAAGGTAGAGTAAAAATCTAATTTTGATCTGAATCAGCTTAAACTTTTTACAAAATTTGATAAAACTATTAAGAAGATCTGACTATAGGGAACAATTATTCAATTTAGCATTGTCATGAGCTTGCCCTGTTCAACTGAATTTCCATTTACCCCTCTCTTTCCCCTCTTGAATATCAGCCACTGTATTTCTGTATCATCTACATTTTCAATTTTTCATGATTTAGATTAGAACCTATGTGTCCCTGGTGCCTGTGGTGTATCAGTGAATTTTTGATCTGTACAATACCCAATACTAATCCTACCATTACTTTTATTATGGTTGAAATTTTGTACAACAGTTTGATAGGGGTGACATTTGTTCATTCCACTTCATGTGTCACACAATACATTGACACTAAATACTCTCTTCCCTTTAATGCATTCTATTTCATCTGTGCATGATTCTCTAATAAAGTTAATACATACTTCCCTCTGTGAAGTTAATTATAAAGGTACCATACATTCATTAAAATGATTGCGAAGGCATATGAACATACCTCTGCAAGTGTTACTGTTTCAGTGACTTTCTTGATAACATTCGAATTATTGCCTTCAAGTAACATAGTAATATAAAATATAAGTTTACTAGAATCATTCATCTGAGTGAAGAAACAATAACAAACTCGAGAAGCAAAAGCTTAATGAGACAATACTTACTTTTACAAGATCATTGAAAGATAGTACACTCTGCAACTCAAAATTCTCTTCAAGAAATTTTTTCCAAACTAGATCTACATGTATCATAATTGCAGGACATGCATCATTTCACTTACATGCACATGTGATACTGGATATAATGGAACTCTGTGTGAGGGTAACATCAATGACTGCATGCCTAATCCATGTAAAAATGGAGGAAACAGCACTGTAAGCTTGCATAATTATGTTGCTACTTTGCTAAGTAAAATTTATGATCTTTTTTAGGATAGGATTAATTGATTCATTCATTAATTCACTAATTATGATATTACTTTAAGCCAACTATTATTTGTGTCTACTGATTTTAGCGAAATCAGCAAAAGTCATGTTTAGCGTTACTAATTTTAGCATTTTTAACCAAATTAACTATAAATAATAACCATTGTAATGAATAATAATTATTTTGGTGTCTATTTAATTTAGCGATTTAAAGCTCTCTTGCTAATATAGCTAAATTTAGTAGACGCTAAAAATAGTAGGCTTAAGGCACATGTACCTTAATTATTAATACAAACATGCACAAACACTGCAGATGGTTACCAAAGTACTTATTATATCGAATACCAGGCCTCTGATACTAAATCCTGGTATCAAGTAGAGTGCTGGCAAAAAACTAAGCATACCCACTTTGATGTCATAATGAAGCACTATGGTGCAATGGACTCGCCTGCTGGAATTCACTTGAGTGATATGTATTACTTGTACTGTTGTGATATTTTAAGCAATTTGAAAAAAATTATTATTATGGACTGCATAGTTATAATGATAATTAAAATAAGCTATGGGTGTCGTCAACAACTAACTAAATCATGTCACATGGGTAGGAGAAAGAAGAAAAGCTGAAATTTATTTTAGCATCTGAAGCTCTATTCCAAGCAGTGGCGTAGCTACACTAGGGCCTACTGGGGCCAGGCCCCAGTTGCTATAATTTGTGCCCTGGTAGGCCCCTGTGGCTTACTTAAACTATTACAGAGAAAAACAAGCTCAAAAAGCTGTAGTCCATGGGGCAGCAGTCTAGGAAGCCATTTTAACAATTATGGTTACATTATTAAACTAAAATTAAAAATTATTAGTACTCAGAGATGGAAAATACCCTCGAAAATACCATAGATAATAGAGTAAAATGAAAGGGATTGGAAACGGTGCGTGGGC